GATTTTTGTTGCATTAACATTGAGAGTGCATTCTTTCGTCGTGTCATCATTGTGTAACGGGCAATGTTTTTGAATTTTTCAAAGTCTTTTTCGGCGTCTTCAACCCGCAGATGAATATCCAATTGTCAAAAACAACAAAGTAGACAGAGATTCGACGAATAGGAAATGAAAAACATCTTTGACATCATATTTAATATATTTTGTAATCCATTATTTAAATTTTTTGACATTATTACATCACACTATCAAACACTCATCCAGACAAAACCAACACAATTGTGACTTATTATGTTGACACAATGAGTTCAAGTCTTTAATAGGTAGCTAACAACGAATGATAAAGTCTTTCCTAATATTTGAAGTCAAACACGAGACCACCTGACCACATAATCGTTATTAAATTTATTAGGTGGATAAGATCCAACTTCCGTTTTCACATAATTTTATCGTATTTATTTGAATAAGTGTATTGATAAAAATATGGAATTTATTACCAATACGCCTTTTTACTGTAGAAATTTTGGCGATCCAGAAGTGTGTGTATCAATAGGAAGGTAACTATTGTGTTCGCCTACTTTACATCAAGTTGTGTATGGGGAATGAAACCTGTGGGCAGGGGTATATCCACTTGGCTAACATAGACAGTCCCCAAACTTGTAATAGAACTAGAATCGGGAAATTCGGAATAAATTATGGCCTAATCCTACCTGGTACACGCACTACGGGAGTACCAAAAATATTCCTATGCGAAAGTTTTTCAATCCGTGTTAGGATGAATTTTTATTTGATTCAGATAAATTTGTCGTATACTATGAACGGTTTCCAGTTTTCAAGGAACTGCACTTTCAGGCATTTCACAGGAGAATTAAACAGACATAAATACGCGCTGGGTGGCGGAGTTTATTATTGATATTATTATTTCAAACTCCAAAAACCTCTCCCTTTTAAAAACTAGGCTCACAGTAACAAGACTGTTTAGTCTACAACTATTTTAAATCAGACTAAAGGTTTCCGTGGTGAATTTTATAAGCCTTAGTTGGAATAAACTTTTGTTTTGTTTTACAATTTACAACTTGTGCCTCACAACTCTTGAACTGATGTTTTCAGAGTTATAAACATTATGGAATCATCAACCTTCAAATAAATGCTTGTAGAAATGTAAAAAGTATAACGACTACCTGTCTCAAGCTTATCAAATATAAAATGGTGAAATACTTGGTCATTTCATGATGATGTGAGCGGGTTTACTTTCTGTTTACCCAAGCCCAATAGCGAAAGTATAAGCGCGACCACTAGTTTTAATATTTAAATTGATCACTTCACCTGATAAATAATGGTATACTAAAACTTCCCGAATTAAACATATATATATCATGTTTTTACTGTAAAAGCGGCCAAATACTTAATATATAATTTGAAAATATATAATTTGAAATATCCTTTTTCCCAATATCTTCATTTTTTAAACGCTTCAAATTGCGATTTGACCGTATCGTGCCCTGTGTCTTTCTGCTTTCAATGCAGCTTCCATACATTATTCATTAGTAAATTTCAGCAGTTACGTTGGCCGTTAGGTCAACAAGCAAATTCTCTTTACCGAAATTGCAGACTACATCCGACAGTACAAAGAATTTTCGAAGAGACGGAACTGCTTAATGTCTAACATAAGTTATATATATAGCATATATATGTAGTTTCACATACCAGCTAGGCCTCTAAACTTGGCTTTTTCGAGTCTTTGCAAAGCAATAGACAAATAATTATTCGGATTCCTGTAACATCAACATTCCAATTTTAACCTTTGACCTTGGCATCCCATTAAAATGACCTTTTGTTAAGTCACAATGCATTTGTTAGAACATTCCATGCATAGCTGACAACAATGTCGTCAAATATCCTGAATGTAATTATGAATCACAGAGAGGATATTGCAAGTAATAGATAGAGATTAATTAAATGCTTGTATGCTTATTTATTTGGGCTAGCTGTACGGAACGGTGTTGTTTTTGATATAATCACTTTTCAACATAGATTGTCATTATAAATATCCAAAATACTTTTTGCGATTTTGTTTCAAACAGTCGAAGCTGTAATTTTCTGATCGGAAAATGTGGATTTTCAAGAGTCTTTGAGGGTCTAAAAAACGTTTAAATATACAAAAAATTACATGGCACAGAATATCTATCAAACAACCTACTTAAATTAATATTAAACTATTGGTCCTGCTAGGCAGTACAGCAGCAGGGGGTATTTGTTTGCTCACCCTAAAAAGCGACATTTAAATATTGACATCTAGTTGTTACACACTTCACAATGGTTTAATTCAAATATTTGCTGTTGTCGGGAATTTGCAATAAACGAGGGTGCTTAAATATGTGATCCTAGTTTCATCTCAACAATGCCTACCGTAACACATCACTTAATTTGGTCTCGTTGTGTTTCGAACCTTCATTTTAATATAATTTCTAGGTCAATTACGATTTTTATATTTTTTGACATCTTACTTTGTCATAATCGGGCAAACTCATTCATAATTAGATTAGTAAGCGTGTCCATTCATTTGTAAAGATCGATGGCCAATTTCTATAGTTCCTCTCTTCCACATATGGTACCCATTGTTACGCCATTGTATAATAAAAATTCTGTTTGTTACGTCATAATTGGATTATAATTAGCAGATAACATTTGGTGACATAAGTCTCTTAAGTAATTATTGTAAATATGCCACGAAACACATAACTAATTTGGGTGTTTTCGGTCACTGGTTCATGAACTGGATGCGATTGGTTGTGTCATACCAGTTTTAATTTACAAATAAAACGCCAATGGGTACGCCCCGCTGTGAAAGCCGATTAATTGAGTCAGAAGAATGGTCTCGAAATATGTTTGGTCCATTTTGCTGCAATTACTTCTGTTTGATCCGAAGTAACGGCACACAGAAAAAAAGTCTTGAATTTCTAGTCATCTTTAAATGAAGCAAAAATCGATCTAACTGACAACTATTTAGTGGTAACAATGACATCTGTCGTTCGCAGGATTTACGATTTGTTTTGTCACAATTGAATTTGTAAAATAACCGCGAAAATATTGATCCAAGTATCGTCTGCCATTGTTTATGACGTAACAGATTCCCACAAAGTGTCGTCAATCGTCATATTGATAACAGCTTGGACAATATCAGATATTTTGTATCGCATGACCACGGCCTCACGCAGGATGTAATAACTTGAGTAGGCAATGCCGAATGGCTTTGTTTGGAGCGTAAGGCGTTATAAAAGCGCGGTACGGAAAATTATCGTATACCTATATTCATAAAGCGAACGAGAATCATTGTAAATCCACAAGATTTGGAAAAAATTTGCTTCAAATTTTCACTCGACAGGGCGTATCACTTACCACAACTCTACTTCACTGTTCGTTTCACATGGCTTGTCCCACACAAACAAACGCAGACAACCGCCAAATCATCCAACCGAAAAATCATTCATACTTAAATTTTAAGTGAAATTCGATCCTCTTGAGCAAAAAACGTTTCACTATCTATATTTATAAAACTTCAGATTTACATTATGGGTTTTCTCTTTATCATACTTGTGCTAACGATAAACCTGCTGAAGCACAGTAACTCCGCGAAACCATGTCTGGTGCAAACATTGTAAATGAATTTAAAAATCGAACTCAAATCTGCTTCAAGGGAGATTATCTTGTGAGAACAGATAGTCGTCGATTGACACTGATATACGATGCGTCACAGCCCACTCTAATTCTTGTCAAAGCCTCGTATTCTCTGTTTCTTACTAAATAGAAGTATTCAGGCATGATTTCCACGAAATGTATAATCGAAACAGCTTTTAGCGTGAAATTTGACAGTTTTGTATTCGAATACTAGTTTTGTGCTTTCTCTGGCGTAACGGCAAAACATTTTAATGCGCAAGAAAGGCATTTGTCTTATACAAATGCAAAAATGTGGTTTTCATGCTATGTTTGCGCTTTCGTTTTGAGAAAGGCGCCAGACGAGTAGGGCATTGAAACTTACTGTTTAGCAAACCATGTCAACATGCTTTGATTCAACAAATCTCAGCAAAATAATTTGATTATGTCTTGTTGACATTGAGCGAAATACGACGAATTTACGTTCCATGTTTTCCAAGTATTTCGATTTACTTTCGTTTCTTCTTGACCTCCAGTGCTATAAACGCTATAAACATGTCTATAACGATTTACGTTTTATAATTCCACTTAGTGTAGATTTTGCTCTCAATATTTCCTTATTTGGAAATATTCTAGGGTTTTATTTCGTCGTAATCACTTAAATAGTTATCAGACAGTGCTGAAACCATTTCTCCTTTACGTTGAGGGTGAAGTAAATGTAATTATACGACAAGTCGTGTAAACCCAGACGATTTTTGATTACTTTATTAATTATTCACCGATATTTGACAAGTCGCGACACTTGTATAGGATAGAATACTATACGCGACTGGCCAATGTTAAATTATCTAGTTCCTAATCCAACTCAGAAACCGTCTTCCGCTCACAGGCAAGACAGACGACACTTAATTGCGTCACCTTTGTCGCGTCACAATTGCTTCTTCAAATTGTCATCTGCTTGTACGTCATTTGCTTTTCGTATTATTTAAACGAGTATAATTCGTGGAAATAAAGAACTTTTAGATGCTTCATTCGTAACTCAAGATTATCATCGGGTCTTATCTCTCAAAATAGACAAGTTTTATCTTTAAAATGGCGTCGTCATACCTTTGAAGTTACGAGATAAGTATGCTTGCCACTCGAAAAAACGATTTCGTGGCTATTGCACTGCTGTAATATTCATGTAATCAAAACAAACAACTGTACTTTATTGATGACTTAGGCCAGCTTTTAGTTTATTGAACTTCCCCGGCATTTGCTCTGTATCTTGTGTAATTTGATCGAACAAGTAAACAAATATCTTCCGAGTTTAAACTCTTTTTCTAAAACGAACTTTCATTTTTTTTCAGGTTGTTTTGCTCAAGAATATAAAGTCGTCGTCAACGATGTTACTGTGATGGACGGTGATGAAGCTGTTGTTCCTTGCACCTATGAGGTCCCAGATGGCACTGGCAGTAAGTTCCCTTACTAGTATATTCATGCTTTATCAATCAGCTATGGTGGTAATCTGGACTGGGAATGACAAAATAGAAGAAAAATATTCACTATTCACAAATTTCCCGAAAGCGAAATTGTGATCTCAATGAAATTTGTTTATAGGAATCGCAACCGCATTACTTTGCATAACTTAGGTCTGCCACATCATCAGGCAATTTTATGACTTTCCTTATTCGGCTATTAATATGAAAATCCATTATTATTATTATGATACCTAAAAGGGCACTTTACACAGCAAAAATTATTTCATCTTCAGTACTTTACTATTTTTCAACTTTAAACTATTTTGTAAGCTGTGTTGCAATACTCAGATATTAAGCGAACAGTTTGATGTACCAATTCTAAACTGGATAGATATTCTCACGCTTGACCCAAAAATATAATTTTGGAAGGATGTCATTTTATCGGATTTCCTCTCCTTTTTGGGATAAATAAATTCAAAGTCCTAATAGTAATACCAATCTTCTAATCTAAAGCTTCCAACTTAACTACTAATGGAACCAACCTTGGTAAGTTAGATGGAAACATGCATGAATAATATTATTTTACATTATTTATGTTCTCCCATTATTATTTGAGTTGCATTCATTTATTTGTGGAAAATGTGGTTTTACTTGAATCATATGCACCATTTATTATTGAAATGCCTGCTGGTTGTACTATATTTATTGATATTATATGTAGATATAGTATATGTATTATATAGATTAGTCTTATATTTAGCGAGATTTTTTGACTACCTATTCAAAACAATATGGGAAATTTTCTTAGAATTTACCGTAGTTCAATATTTGAGCATAGTCAGAATTTTATAGGCTAAATGTTGTAGCCTTGAGCAAAGCTCTGCTGGGGCCTTCATTTAGACATAAGCAAAACTTTTTTTAGCCAATTGCTTGCTTTTCCATGACTCCAAAACTTTCCTGATGTAGCTTATTAGTGTAGTAATAGTTATTTGGTAGCCCATATCTCAAATTATCTAAAGAGTTGATTTCTTACTTTAAATTTAGGTATGTTCTGATTTATTTTGATATTCAAAAATCTTTCCTTAAAATATAATTAGATTTAGTGCGAGTGTTTTTTTTTGAATATGACATTTATTCAGATTTAGAAATTGTTCACAATATGATTAGGCCGTAGTATTGGCTTTCTCCTCTTGTAGAATAAATATTAAATTACGATCATATCCGCTGCATTTTCGAGTTCTTATTTTTATTATTTCAATTCAATATGAAATGGCATTTTCATATTCAATTTTACTTCACAATATTTTGCATTGTTTTACATTTGTTATTCATTATGCATGGAATTATGATGTCACAGTTTTGTTTTATTAAACAACAATGAGATTGAATTTCATCCATCAATATTTTATCTTCATTTTGAACAGACATTTTTTTGGCTTTTCTTCATAAAATATACAACCATTAAACATTTGTAATTTTTCACAATAATTTGATGTTAAAATCTTTTCCTCGAAAACAAAAAAATTACTAAATCTAAGTCTGCGGAATCCAGACCCAATGACATTGTGATTTCCAATATTTCTTAGCCATGAACTGGCACCAAAGCAATTGTAAGAAGAGCATTAAATTTGACTCAAAGAATCAATTTTCCAATTCATTTTGCAAATGTTGGTCATCGAATCCATCAAGTATCTTAGCCCCTTACATGCAAATTTGTTGAAAACAAGTATTAAGAAACTAACACATGTTTAAATAACATTGCATATTTCACACAAAATATCACTTTATATGTTTTTATCCATGGTACAGTCATTTGCACAGTCATTGAATTTTTTCACAATGTACGAATGTAAATTGTGTGGATGTTTTTTATTTTTTGCACAACTTACTAACTTTGAGTAAAAAAGTTTAGTCTGTAAAGCCTGGCTCATCGGTGTGAAGCCTTGTAGTAAGCAGTAGGCATACACTTGCCACTGCACGCACCATTACCTTGAACGAATTCGCAGGTTTGAATCTTGTGGGAGATCATTTTATGTGGAGGATTGCTGGATTCCTCGCCGCCGTAAGGTGGTTCACCTAACTGCTGGTCAGTCAAGACTTGCTCCACCATCAAGTCCATGCATCTAAAACAAATAACCAGCTAACTAATTTCATACCCGATATGAACTGCTAACTGAGTGAAAGGCTGTGGTTTACTATATGATTAAGCCGTCTTATTGGTTCACTCTCCCCCGGGATAAATATATGAAAATCTTTAGAAGTTTTATGAGCAACTCATGAAGAGTCAATCGATGAAATTTTCTCTTTCAGACATTAACACGACCATTACATGGTACTCTGTGAGAGAACAAGGCGGTCAAGAAGTTACCCAAAGACTTTGGATGTTCCAGAAGAATAATCCACGAAACACCTTTGTCGATTCAGATTCAAACAGAGCTGGATTACAAATCAACCGTGATGACGGTTCTCTTATAGTAAGACAATTTTTTTAATATCAATCATTTTATCTTGGTATTCTAACCAAAACAACACAAGAATTTAACTGACAAAGACACCTCTGATTACTCTGGTTAAGTTAAAATCCTGTGGGAGATACTTTTGTGCGAGAGGATTGCTGGGCTCCTCGCTGCCGTAGGATGGTTTTTGTAACAGCTTCTTCCACCTCCACATAAATGCATCAGAAAACAAATAACTCATCCCATATATGACATGGACTGGTAACCGAACTGGAGGCCCTGGTTCACCATATAATCAAGTCGGCTCTCCTCCCCCTCGAGATAAAAATGTATATCCTATCCAATCCTAAACTCCTGCTGTCACATGGTTCTTCTGTCCATGAAAGCAATGAGAAGTTTTGGCTTCATTCACTAACCATGTTAACTGGACACTAACTGGAACAATTTATATTTCACTATGCCCCCACGCACCAACACAATGGGCCATGGTCGGCTGTGTACTTGTACCAACTCATTAACCTTCTTTTCCCCCAGAAGAAAAATGACATACCGGTAATCCCTTTTTCTTTTAAGGTTCCAGAAGCGAAAACCGAAGATAACGACATCATGCCAAAGCTCAGATGTAGAGTACAATTCGGAAGAGCTGCAGTCGAAGAAAGCGACTTGAAATTTCTTGTTGTTTGTAAGTCATACCTTTTTTGTTAAAGAAATTACTTTTTTTGAGGATATTTGAAACAGAGGATAAATTATGGGCTTTTCTCTCCCCCAGGATGATTCCAAAAATATCCCTTTCTGAACAGGCATAAGGCGTTTTCAGATAATAGTTTGCAAAATCCTCACTATACCTACCTTCACTCTTGCATACAAAACTCCTTCTATATTAGCAAGGACTGGTAACTGGACGAAAAGCTGTGGTTCCCCATATTGTTCAGTCGATATTTCAGCCTTTTTCCCGGGTTATGTAAATTCTAATATTAAATGTTCGTCTTATGGGCTTTTCTCTACTCAAGCTATCCTTCATTTTCATCTTCTTTCAGATTTGCCGCAACAAGATGCTAAGACAGCTTTGTACGCATACCAAGATGGCCAAGAAGGCTTCGAAATGACTCCATTTAAAACGTCTATTGGATCTTGCGAAACAGCAGCATCTTTTCCAGAAGCTAAAATCACCTATTTCAAAAGTATGTATAGGTTTTACTGCGCTGTTGGAATTTGGCTTCTTTACCTTAGAATGTAAATTCCCTTGAATCTGAAATGATTTTCTACTTAGCTATTCCCATACCTGACATGGTAACTGGACCTGAGACTCTGACAAATTATTAAACGATGAAACCATTTTATCAGCTTTCCTCTCTCTCTAAAAAAAAATTAAAAGTTAATCCGAAATTACGATTAGCATAAAAGCGAGTCGTTTGAATCAAAATTTCATTGATCTCTTGGAATGATTAAGTTCATTTTCGTTTGTAAACTTCTCAAATGAGTCAAACTCTTACAGCTCAGGCAACATTTTTTTTTTGTTCTTTTAGATTCTAGTTATGGTGAATTAATGTAGATATTTTTTTGCTAATTCTGATATAATTCTTCATGCTAAGCTTTAAATAATGATCACGTCAATTCCAAAATTGTTGAAGTTTAAAAGGATTGAAAAAACATAGAAAGTTTTGCTGTACTTTTGTTTTTTTGGACCTGGATAACCTGGGTATCCCTTTAGCAAGGAAACCTATTGAAGCAACAAATTTTAATTGATAACAATTAATAAGTATTTACTAATGGGCATTCCCACACTATTATTTATTGGGTTCTCATAACCTTGCTTTGAGCAAAATGCTTTAAAAATCAGAGACAAAAAAATTGTATATTCTCTGTTAGAGACCTTGAAAAAGTGTCGCGGAGTGAATAAATTAGTGATATTGTTAAAAAAAATTGCTTCATGCAAAAGGGTTTTCTGTAAATTATAAAAACCTGATATCTAAAAAAAAACTCAGGCAGGCAATTTTGAAATTGATGTGATCTCATAGCGGTGTTCACTTAATCTGATACTTTTTACTAAAACATTAGAATTTATAGATTCTCAAACGTAGTTCTGTGGATGCTAAGCTTGTGATTGTGAATGTATAACTTGTGATTCTGCCAGCACAATTTAAAATTTCCCACAACACAAAAAATAATTTCATATGTATAAGTGATGTTTCACATGGCTTATGCTGCACATATTCAGTGATTGTATTCTGTCACATTGCTTAATCCACAATTCTACTTGTCTGGGCTTTTTATAGATAAATATCTACCATAGTATAGAATGTAGATTCCTTTCAATTTCTGAAAATCTCAACTAACTATACTTAATTTATACTTTACCCAACTTAAACACTATTAATTTATCTGTTCTTCGAAGTGCAAATTTCATTTTTTGTTATGATTGAAATTACAGCAATTTTCTATTAGTTTTGCCTATAAATATTCTGCTTGGATAACGATAACAAAATGATTGTTGTTTAAATTTCTCCTCAACGAATAAATTTTCAGTTAAATTTTTTACGCACTACACTTTTAAAAATTGCCACTAACACTTTCTAATCATGCTTGGTTATTCTTCTTTTTTTCTCTAAAATCTGCTTCCTGCCTGCTTTGTGCCTGCATTAGAACTTGGAGGTAAGAACTATAGTTTTGTAGATGTTTCTAGAATGAAACGGGGTGATTTTGAACAAAAGGGGTCAAAGGTTTTTCCAAACTTTATCTAAAATATGATCAGATTTTGTTTTCGTACTTCGATCAAACAGTACTATATAAATGCCATCAAAAGGATGACAGGCCTTGGTACGCCATATGATTAGGCAATTTTATCAGCTCACTTCTTGCATGGGATATTGAAATCCTTCCTTATCATATCTGGCTACCTGTCCCCCAAAAAATTGGACTAGTAATTTACCATGAGGTTTTCTCAACTAATCAGCTTTCCTCTTCCTGGGATAAACACAAGAAATTTTATTTCACAAAGTTCTGAAATATAAAAAGGAAGAAGGGAGCTGAAAACTTTTTAAAACACTCCACTAATGTATATGACTCCACCAATGACCATTTTGTTCAAAGTTACCCTGTTTAAGATAACTCATTCACAAATCTTCACAGAAAGACTGATCAACTGTATGAAATATTGGTTGGAGTGTATAATCTACCAATTTCAATCAATCAATTTCCTTTTTCATAGTTCTATCGAACACTCCTATGTACTGGAAAGATTTTCATCTAGTTTTCCATTCCCTAGCTTCCAAGAACAAATAACAAGTTAACTAATCATCCTATACCCGACGTTGACTGGTAACCGGACGAGAGGCAGTGCTTCGTCATATAATTAAGTCGTTCCGTCGGTTTTCCTCTAAATTCTGTAAATCGTATTCTAGTTCATACAGTTGATCATCTTTATGTGGAGGGATTCATTTTGCATGCTAATTTCACTCAATGCTTAAAATTTTTTTTCTTCAATATCCACAAAATAAAAAAGCACTAAATGCCAATATTCTACATTTGTTTGAAATATTTTTTTATCGTTACAAAGTCAATAAATTGCGTTCGACTTCAGTTTGTCATTTGATCATGCCATTTTATTCGCCTCCCGTTCCCCCCTGAGTAAATATGAAAAGGTTTATCCTATCCTAAATTTGATTCTCAAAAAAAAGGGGGGTATCAGATATAACACTTATACATTTTCAATTTATTTTAAAAAGTCCTCTTCTCTTTTTGTTTTGGCATTATTCAAGTCAATTTGTCATGGAAATATTTTTGATCAATAAAAAATAAAAACAAATTGAATGCCCTACCTATTCTATTAGGAACCTATTGGCTAAACTTTATCAAAACCTTGCACTGACAGATGGGAAATCCCTTGAAACCGTGGCTGCAGTTGATGCTTTAACTGGACTGTTGGACACAACAACTTTCGATAAAGGATCTGTCGCAGGAACCGTAAGTTTCTTTCTAAATCCTATTGATATAACTCACTTTTGACCCCAGTGGCGTGCCAAACTTTTCTGATACCTAACTTCAAAAATAATTTGGGGGATTAATAACTCATAGATATTGTTATACATGAGAATGAATAAATTGAAGGTTAAGTAAGAGTGAAATGTTCGTATTATCAATTAAATCATCAAACTAAGCAACAAATTCACCCCTATAACATGCTGACTAGTGTAGCTGGCACTTGGGCCCCACTCTAGACATGTCACTGTTTGCCCCCTAATTCCATGATTTTTTATTGAGTCAGTGCTTGATCTACACAATCCTGATCACCATCATGATTCAAAATATTTACCCAATTTGCAACCTAGGGTGTGAAAAAAATTGGACATAAAAACTAACTTGCTCAGGATAAATTTAAATTTACAAAGTTTTGAAATTATTTCATTGCATGGTTTTACTTACAGATGATCACTAAAAAGGATTTGATGAAAAGTTTGGATGAAACAGATCACCAGGCTGAGTTTGTTTGCAATGTAAGTTATATGTTTTGATTATTGAACCAGTGGTTCTTCCTTTCGTCCTTTTAAAACTCTCCATTCCCCCTCGCTAGTCATAATCATTTGCTAATGATTTGCGAAACTGGGACTTTGGTTTATTGTAGAGTTTTAATATGCTATAATTTAATATGCAAGTAACAAGTAAAATTTCCTAACCCCGAGACAATAAAATTCTTCTCTGAGATAGAATTCCTCTGTGGCTTGGAAATGCTACATTAATCCTTACTCATATCTGACTCTGTGATCCACTAGGTGTTTTGCTGATCGCATTGACATTAAGTACTTCAAAGTCTCGCGTCTGTCGATATTCACTAACGCGCAATTCTACACTAATTCGTTAAAGTCTTAGTTGCTCTTAGCACTTCAGTGATTGTACCTTTGCTCAGAAAGAAATTATCTTTATTTCTGAGTGAGTGCACACAGTATGTTACCCAGCTTTTCATTTTAGGGGGGAGTTAAAATTTAGGGGGTAGTCAGTATTTTTCTATCAGCGATAAAACTATTTGTGACCTATAAAAATGTGTTTGACAGATCATCTACACTGATAAATATGGAATAGTCTATATATTTAAATACAATTATACTTAAGTTAGGAATTACTGTCATCACGTCTCATAATTAGGGAGAGGGGTGGTTTAAGTCCAGGGGAGGTGTAGGGCAGAGGTGTGCAACCTTTTTTATTGGCGGGCCAAATACAAGTAACTGGGTGAAGCCCCGGGCCGCACCTTTATTTAATTTAAGCTTTCTGGTAGTTGCAAGCACCAAAAATTGCCTATATTTGCTATTGATCTTACGGCATTATTAGGGGTTCTTGCAGAAATAGTAGATTTAAAACGCATAAACTTCTGAAGAAACTGCTATTTAAATTTTTTGTCACACCGACTTCAAACGAAGGCAGTGAGAAACACGTTTTTGTAATATAAATCGTGTATTTTGCAACAGAATTTTGTTAGCTTGTTTTGCTAATATGACTGGTATGGGCTTTGCGACGAAAAAGAATAAATACTCGTTTTGCAAGTACACCATTCGAAATTGTTATTTCTCCGCGGGCCGCACAACTTCTTCTTGCGGGCCGCATTTGGCCCGCGGGCCGCAGTTTGCACACCCCTGGTGTAGGGAATCACTGAGTACACATGATGTTGCTTTGAGCAAATCCTCTTATAAGGATAACTTTACATTCTGCAAAACTACTACTTAAAAATGTTTTAATCATGTTCTATGCCTACAGGTGAAAATATCTTATGAAATGGAAGGAGAAATGAAAGTCTATGAGAAGAACTACACCATGCCCAAGTTCAATGTTAACTGTGAGTTGATTGAATATTTAACTATTCAATATTATCAGTACTGGTTGGATGTCTCTAAATCCTGAAGTCGTTAGTCAAGTCAATCACTGAGTTAAATCTCACGGCCAGTTAGTTGTGCGTACGAGTCTTGAGTCATTTTATTTAGATAACTCAAGTTTCTTCGAGTCATCGATAAATGTTGAACCTGAGACCAACTTGAGATGTTTTGATGTCATAAGCCGTCCCAACACTGTTACTTATAGTTACAGATACACCACTAGTAGCAAACGTTAAAATAAATTCAGTTTTCAAATATCTGTATCCGTACAGTTTTATAATGATGCTTGTGTGGATGTAAATCTAAAAAATCTATGTAAAAGAGTAAAAAGTAAAAGACTCACAGCCTTTATCTGTGTGATAATGGGGAACAACTTTTTGTGCTCTATATCAGGGCTACTCAACTGGCAGACCGCGGTCTGAATCCGACCTTTCGAGTATTGGATTTGGACCGCACCTTGTTCTTTATTTTGGATCATTAGCCCCGCTTTTTATGTTTCCTGTTATAAAATCACTTTTATAGTTTTGAATATATATGAAAAGAACTATAACACCATAATAAATATTCTTGATTTGCTAATAACCATTAGTTGGCCAAGGAATTGCACGGTCAGGGATGCCGAAATATAATTATGGAAAGTCCAGACCCAAATAATTTTGAAGTTTTGTATGCGGATCTCTGGTAAAAATATTTGAGTAGCCCTGCTCTATATGATTAAGCCATCTTATCATCTTTAATGCTCCTGAGATGCATTGAACACTATTGAGAAGCATTTTTCTAATGTCAAGTTTCATTTTCAGACGAAACTAACTCTGTAGCTTTCGAAGATGAACCGATTGCAATCCTTGGTGAAACCATAACTCTGAAATGTGTTGGCAACGGATTCCCTGAGCCTACTATTATGTAAGTGTTCGTCGATTGAAAATCAAATGTTTTCTCGAGTCAAATCAGGAAAGAAAAAATAATTTTCAGAGAATTGCAGACACCTTGCCATTGTATTTTGGCTCACATAATCGTATACTTTCAATTATGTGGGAGAAACACTGTGCTATCACAAAACTGTTGGTTGGTGACATCCTGCTCCCACATCAAGTCCATGCATTTAAAAGTGAAAAGTGGTTAACTCTAATCCTATACCCGACATAGACTGGTAACTTAACGAGAGATTGGGGTGCGCAATATGATTAGGCCGTTTTATCTAGTGTTTACTGATGTTTTCTTCTTAATAAGTATCTTTCTAATGGCACAAATGGAATTGACATTTTGTTCTTGATACATGAATAATTGGCAATAAAAAAACTCAGCTTATTCAGCATGGATTTGCTGGTTCAATTTCAAATCCTGTAGAGGATAACGTAGCGCACGTTGAAAATGTGAAAAGGTCAACCTATTCCGCTTTTTCATGTCTTGGGTACTGTATTTTTTTTGAAAAATTTTCAATTATGTTTTTTTGTTGATGGAAATAAATCTTCATCTCTTTTACTCATTTCTCAAACATTTCAATCTAAGGTTGAATGGCGAAGAGGTCAGTGAAAAAACTATTGAAGTAACTGCTGATATGGATGGCAGTACCTACCAATGCACTGCGTATAACAGACAACAAGACAACGCTGTACAATCTTCTGTCTACACCGTTAAAGTTTACAGTAAGTTAATCTCGGTTCGTTACTCCCGTAGTGTGTGTACCAGATTAAGGTTAGGCCGTGATTTTATTCCGATTTTCCTTATTTCAGTTCTATTATGATGGAATCTTGTATATATTTTAAATTTGCTCATTGCGTATTTGTACATATTGCACTATAGCTTGGCGATGTGGTTCATCGTGATAAGTGTTAGGAATACGCTTTCCTGCAACTTTGCTTACCCTGCATGGGTTCGCAAGTTTGAATTCTATGTGAAGTAATTATGTGCAAGAGTATTGCTGGACTCCTCGTTGTTGTAGGGTGGTTTGCCTAACCGATGGACAGTAAAAACAAATTACTGGCCAACTAACCTCATACCCAACATGGACTGGTAACCGGATGAGGCATCGTGGTTCATCATATGCCGTCTTGCAAATAAAGAAAGTCGAATATATATTTTTAATTTGTTATAAATGTACACCATTTTCTATTCTCTACAATTTCATTAACAAAACATCTTCCATTTCAGGTCTCAAAGAACCAGTCGTTGTAGGCAAAGACCAAATACAATATGGAAAACCAGTCTCTGTCACTTGCAATGCTGAAGGAGTCCCACCTCCATCTGTTGCATGGTACAAAGAAGACACAAAAGTATCAGATGATGGTAAGCGAAAAATTTTATTTATATTTTTGCTATACATTAGCAGTGACTTACGGTCAATGTTCCCTCTAATTTTTTGTAGTATGTGTGCGCAAAATTTTGGTGTGTACGCACTTTTTTGGAAATGACTAATATTTGTGCAAAAACCAAGAAGAAATTTTGGCGTTCTAACCGGGTAATGGGTGGGCCAACAACAAACTTTCTCAACCTGCCTACTGAGAACATTGTTACATTACATCGAAATACGTCTGTGCGCAGTAAATCTATGCGTGTGCGCAGCATCTGAAAGCTGTGTGCGCGCACACGTGCACACTTTAGAGGGAACACTTCTTACGGTATATCTAATATTATTATGCCTTTTATATAAACCAGAATTCTCCCCTCTCTACGGGGCCACAGAGCAGTAATTTTGGGGCCATGGGCAACGTACCATTTGCAATGACTACAATAATTGACTGTCCATATGTGAATGTGAAGTATCGGTAGTCATATAATAGACTTTTGTTTTTCACCAACTCCTATAAAACAATGCGGACGCGAGAATGTGGTTCACCATTGGTTAAGCCCCTGGAAAAATATGTAAATCTTATCCTCTTTGAACTTTTAATATAAAGATGGAGGGCATTGTGAAAACTAGCAAATTTAATTTAAGTTAGTTTACTATTTTCTGAGTCAAATATATTAGATTTTAGTATTTATGAATAAATAAATCCTAACATAGTAACATAATGTATATTATTCCTGTTTACACAATTAACCAGATGATAGGCCATTGTTCAGCATATAATTGGGCAGTCTTATCAACGTTTCACCCACCTCGATACCCAATCTATCCTAATCTTGTTTTCAATCTGAAATTAACCCTGTTACTCCTTTCAGGAACACTTAGCTTTGAAAACGCCATATTTGAAAACTCAGCTGAATACACATGCCGTGCTGACAATGGTCACAAACAGTTAAGAAAATATAAAACTTTCAACTTGAGCGTCAGAGGTAAGTTTGTGGTTCTATTTGTACTTATTGTGGTTCTATTTGTACTTTTTGTGGTTCTATTTGTACTTCTTGTGGTACTATTTGTACTTTTGCTCCAAGGCTCCACAACACCTTTTGATTGGATTCGAGTACAGTATAGCTCATACAGGGTTAGGTGAAAAAAACCTCCCACATTTTAAAATTTCTTATGAATTAAAAGATTAATAAGATATCGGAGTTAGTTTGCCCCACATTGTACGCTTTCTGTACTAATCCCATACCAGACATGGACTGGTAACCAGACGAGAGGCTGTGGTTCGCCATATGACTACGCCGTCTTATCAGTTTTTTCTCTCTTCCCCGGGATAAATTTGTAAAATCCTATCTTCAGTTAATATTCTTTTTTCTTATCCCAGGTATAATATTGGAGGGAGAAGCTGAAGTCAACGTTGAAGGCAAAAAAGATGAAAGTGTAACACTAGAGTGCTCTGTTAACTCAAACCCAGCAGCCGAATTCAAATGGAGCGATGAAGATGGTAATTATTTTTTTTATCATTTAGTTGACACTTTTTTATGGCGCTTATTCGTGCCTCTCGCCCTGAATAAGGCTCCTGATAGAATTATGCTACTATTTTTCGGAAGGGCTGAATTTTTCTTGTTCGGACTTGCCTGCCCAATTTATTACACCCTGAGTGAGGTGGTGGGAATGGAATTTGGCTCCGGTTACGGTTTCTTCCACCATCAAGTCCATACTTGCGAAAAAACTGGCCAACTAATCCCATACCCGGCATGGACTGGTAACCAGACGAGAGACCGTGGTTTGCGCCATATGGTTGAGTTGTCTTATCGGCTTTCCATTTTCCCAGAAGGAATATGTAAATCCTATCCTAGAGCCCTCTGGGATAGATATAAAAAATTCTATCTTATATTTTCTTTCATGCAAAAAATTCAATTCACCTCAGTTTTCATAATTACCATTGAGACCAACCCCCAATCCTCCTTCAATACTTCTACGGTAGCGAATCCGGGATCCGTATGTGTATAGGGATGATGTAGCAGGAAAAAACATACTATTCTATGCAATTCAGCACAAATCTATTTCTGTAACATCCAAAGTCCTTTGGTCGGGCGAAACGTTACAGAAATACATTTGTGTTAATGTGCAGCAGAACTCTTATATTATTTTGTCACAAAAAATTCACTTCAGTTTTGTTTTTAAAAATGATTTAATTTTGTTCAGTTGCGAGCACCACAACCAGAGTTGGGTATTTGTTCACAAGCACATTAGTTATTGAAACTTTAACGACTGAATTATCCGAGAAGACTTACACCTGTACTGCAGAAAATCAAGATGGGGCAACAGTGACAAAGACATTCAAGTTACCAGGTAATTATAATCTCACATTTAGTAATCGGAGCTCCCAAAATATGTGCACCAAGATGGCGCACAACCTGAACTTAGTATGTGTACCAGGTTGGGGTTCAGGTTGTGCGTCATCTTGGTTAACATACTTGGGGAGTGCCTAGTAATCTCACACACACATGCATTCAGTAAAACACGAAAGGTTGTGCGTCATTTTTGATGTTCTGTAAACTGGATTTGCTCCAGGGATGTGAAGTCGGAAGTACTCCCGAAGTATGTGATCCAACATGACGGACACCGAAACTTAGTATGTGTACCAGGTCAGGGTTATGCCATAAATCCAGGTAAAATTACTAAGAGAGTCACTTGGCTAGTCCCCGAATTTATAGAACTAAAATAAGGAAAATTGGAATAAAATTTGGCCCAACTTTAACCTGGTACACATACTACCCTTCGATGTCCGCCATCTTGGTTCACATACTTCGGGACTACCGAGTCAGAAACAATTACCCATTCCACTAGGACTCCAAATATTTAAAATTTAAAAACATTTAAAATACCTTTCCAGTTGCCAAAAATTACTAAACCAACTGCAGGTTTAGAAAAAATTTGAACCTGACTCTAATATCAATAGAATTATTTTCAATTAAATTCGGTTTAAAATATTTCAAAGAAGATTTTTGCAACAAAATGTGATATTTCTCTTAAAAACTTGATGATTGCGTGATTCAAATGCAAAAATTGTGAAAATTTACATAAAATACAGAAATTTGGATTATCTTTATTCGTAATATAGAGACCTTTGTAAATTATAGTATTTTCATACATCTCTGCTAATAATATAAGCTTTTCTTATCTAACTCTTATCTCTCTTATATAACTGTTATCTTTTTATCTATAAATTTTTAGCCAGAAAAATGTGAGAACAAAGACTCCATACTTGGGCGCCATACTTTTCAAATTAGTAATGTTTTACATATTGATTGAATGAAATTTGGATATTTCTACTAATATGTTAGATATTCTTATCTATATCTAGTCTTTCTTATCTAACTTTTATCTTTTTATCTAACAATCTGAATCAGAAATCAAAGGAGATGTTGCCAGCGCAGGAGGTTTGATATGTCTGCATGAAATTGTTTTTGTCCAAGTTTTATTTTATATTTCACTTTTTCTCATCAATGCATGTTCATTATTGCATTGTTTGTTCATAATTATTATGTATAATTTCATTTTTTCTATTGGGGTGGGGGGGAGTAGGGAGATATGAAAACGAAATTATGTTATGGGTAATAAAAAAAACACTAGATACATAATTAACTTTTGTCAAAAGGATGTTTGAATGAAGTGAATTCAAGAGTTTGCAACAGGGGGCCCACAGCCCGTGTCATTAATTTCCTCATCAAACGTAAAATCCTAATCCGACAGTTTATATTTAAAAATTCGCTCACATGGGTAGAAATACATAATATTTATTTGCTCTTGTCGCTGCATTGAATCTTTCACCGTTTTGTCTGGTGCCTTTATCACTTTAAGGCTGTAAATTTTTGTGTGGCATGGCTAGATGTCTGAAGTTGGTTTGTGACCCAATGACAAAAAATGTTGCACAAACGTGCTCTAGATGGACGGCCTGATTAAGGCTTTCGAGAAAACTTGGGAAAACATTTTGTTACAATGTATATCTTTGAATGATTATTAATTAAATTCTTCAAAAAATGTTTTCAATTAAACATAGTTTTATGATTGATTTAGAAATGTGAATTTAATTATTTTAAGCATCTTGAGACCTGAGTATATTACCTAATTAAAGCCACTTTGTGGTAATTAATATGCAATATTAGAAGATATAAATGATTAATTAAAATTGTAATTTGTTTACGAATCGATTTATTGATATTTCGTATTATTTCTCTAAACAAGACTAGAAAAGTAGTGATTATGTTCAGGAGGAGTATTCTTCCCAGTTTTTCATTCTAGAGGGGTTATTTCCAAATTTAGGGAGTGGTGGAGATTTTCCTATTACCGATAAAACTATTTGTGACCCATAAAAATGTGTTATGTATTTGGTTGGCCACTCTTTGGATATTCAAATACAATTATATTCAAGTTAGTAATTGAACATCTCAAAATTAGGGGGAGTTTTCAAAATTTCAGAGAGGCTGTTCATCCACTATAATGGGGGTAGAAAACTCACTGTTCAGGATAACCATGGTCTTTCCAATTCAACCTAGTCTAACCGATTATTAATACTCACCGATGGATTCAAACCCAAGAAATCTGAATTCTGTGTCTCTGTATTTGTTTTGTTTGTTTTTGCAACTTTTCGTTGCTCGAAAATTCATGTCATTTGCACGATTTTTGTTTGTATAATTTCATTTTATTTTGACAAAAAGTTTTTTGTTTTCATTGAGATTCACAATAATTTCATGTGTGATATTTACAGTTTTACAGATATTTCCAAATATTATTTTAATTGTATATTTAGTAAAACCCAGAATGTCACTGCCAAATTTGCAGTTTTATTTCTTTGTGGGTTCTTTCCACTAGTAAAAAACACACTTTTCGTTTTCATAATCTTCTCACATTAACATAAACATTTATAGTCCAATAGTTTTCCCTATGCCTTGCAATGCGCACTCCAATACCAAAATATTGCCTTTTTTGCCCACTTATACTAATTCAACCATTTAATTTCGTTTTTATTTTGTATTTTTAGGCATTTGAATAATAGAATATAGAAACTGTTTCCTCTGTTTCCTCCCCCTTTGATAAATATGTCCGCTTAAACTGACTCAACACTTCTATTATTATAAACTTATGAAGCAATGAATAACAAAATACTGGTACTTTCCCCTCCCTGCTGACAAATAATATATAAATCTTCCCTCCTAAACCTAAATAAATCCTGTTTTATTATTTCAATAAATATTTATAGATACTTACCCCCTTTTCTGGCGAATACAAACTTTCCCTCCCCGGAAATTTCCTCCGAACACAAAATAAATCCTGTTTTCTTATTTTTAGTGATCTCAGACTCTTCTGGAACAACTGCAGGAATCATCATTGCAATCCTTGTTATTCTGTTGATTGTCGCCATCATACTTGCTGTTTTGTATAACAAGGGTATTATATGTAAGTATTATTTCCTGACAGAGGCCCTAATCGTTATGTACTGGCTTCCAATTATCAATAGTACCTGTAAATTCATAGGCACTCCAGAAATATGTGTACCAATATGGAATTAACTAATTTTGTTCACCTACTTTACATCAAGTTGCGTAAAGGGACTGAAACCTATGGGCAGAGGGTATATTCACTTGGCTAACACAGCCAGTTCCGAAATCGTAGTGGAACTGAAAAAAATTGAAATTCGGAATAAAATTATGCCCTCACCCTAACCTGATACATACAATTACAACTCCCTATCGTTATGTACTGGCTTCCAATTATCAATAGCAAATTCATAAGTGCTCCAGGAGTGTGTACCATTATGGAGGTAACTAAATTTGTTCGCCTATTTTACGTCAAGTTGTGTAAATAGGTGGAAACCTATCGGCAGGAGGGGGTATATTCACTTGGCTAACACAGACAGTTCCGAAATCGTAGTGGAACTGAAAAAAATTGAAAATAGGAATAAAATTATGCCCTCACCCTAACTTGATACATACACTACGGGAGTAACAATTCATATGCAACCGTTAGCACTTCTATATTTTTTTGTATCCTGGCATTTTGTATCTGTTATTTCATAACTCTACTCAAAGATGAGTCATATTTGCACGAGTGCACAGGATCAGGCTTTGACCAAAGTGTTTTTTAAAATAAGCTAATTTTGCCATATGATTACTCCTTTCTATTGGCTCTATTTTTCCCGAAGTCCAAATATAATATTTTCATAATTTTCTGTTTTTCACAGGCAAAAAAGGAGAGAAAGGCGAAGAGTCAGCAGAAGCAGATATCGCTGTTGAAATCAACAATGGTGATGGTGATGTAGAAGCCGGTGAGTATTCAGTCCCGTGCATCAAATATAGATTGATTCAGACTTGGGAGTCTTTTATCTGACCTTTAGTTTAACTTTGACCTTTGACTTTTTCAGGAAATGGTACAGCAACAGCAGGAGCTGCTGGTGAAGAAACTATTGAAGCCAATGAAGAAGAGAAATTAATGAACAGAGAAAACAGTGATTAGGTAGGTTCATAGGTAGATTAATATAGAAGTGTCTGTCTGTCTATTGTAGACATGAGCATTTTAAAACCACTGATTAACCTCAACTCGGCGGTGTGGCACATCTTGCTTGCAATACGCTTTTTTAGGCAAGAGGGAAATGGGTTGTCTTAGTTTTTACTAGACTTTTTTTTCATTTCATTGGGGGGGTGGGGGGCTGTGAAATTTATTGTACACCCTTCTATTATATAGGCAAATGGGTGGCTGTAGAATCTGTGTTAGAATAATAACTGACTGAATAATCCCATACCTGATAACAACTGGAAGCCGAACGAGAGGTGTGGTTTACCATATGATTAAGACTTCTTATCGTCTTTCTTTTCCCTCGACATGAATATATAAATTCTATCATAACAAACTATTTTATCTCCTTGATTTCAGAGAACAAAAGGCAAGCAATAGCAGCTTCAGCATTCCAATGCCACCATGTTAACACAATCAAGAACTAATGGGGAGTCGTATTTACCCCCCAAAAAAGAAAAAAAACTCCTAAATATAGAGAAAATGAGCCGAATTTATCACTAACTATTTTTACAAATTGCTCAATTTTTATGTATCATTTTAAAAATTATGTAAAATTAACTTGAGTTTTTAAACTATTTGGTCACAATTTTTTCCAAGTCAATTTTATGTATTTTTTGACAGCATTAACACACAGAATTTTATATGTTCACTAAGAAAATTTTGCTTTTTTGTCATAAAACTGGGAAATATTATGAAATTTTCTCGTTTTTAAATAAATTTGGTTGTAAATTTAGTTTATTTATTCCCAAAAAATTGTGAAATTGGGAAACAGTCCAAATTGTGCTCAGGAGAAACCTAAATTACAGAATTCAGAAATGATTTTTTGTTGACGTTTGGACTATATTTCTGCTCAAAACACTCAAATTCAGCCTAAATTGTAATTCTAAAGATTCACGGGATATGCCAAGCTTTATTCTCCTGAGCACAATTTCAGCTGTGATACTTTGCTATGTATACCATGAGCCTATCAATTTGATTTCATTCTTGGTAGTGTATGACCTGCAGTTTGGAATACATTTTATATATTTAAACCTATCCCATCCCTGTTTTCTTAATTTTAAAACAAAAACTTTCCATTTATGTATGAAACAAATAACTGGTTAACTATTCGCATACCCAGCATAGACTGGTAGCCGGATATCGTATGCTGTGTTTCGTCATATGATGAAGTCATCGTTATATAAGCTTTTCTATCGACGGGATAAATACAAAAATCTTTAATTCGGTCTTTTATACAAAATGCAGCATGACATATAAAAGTAATGTTTTCATAGAATGCTGAAACTTATTTATTTAATAAGCGAAACCAATACATGACGTCATACAGCTTTTGTTTTGCCTTTTTACCCCCCAATTAACCCTTTCCTCAAGACCTAACTGTCTTAGATCTAAAATTATGGGTACTCTTGCAAGTCCCATATGCTACCAATAATGAATCAAACCATATTTTATCCTATTTTGCTTTTTTATTAATGTTACTCTATTATTATAACTTACTTATTATAACAATCACTTTTCCCAGATTCATTTCCGCCCCAAACTTGCTTTTTTATTTAAAATATAGTTTTCAGAGGTGCTGGGAGTCTAAAACTATCCTTCATGCCCAAATCCGCCCACTGCTATCATTTTACTAGCAATTTTTAAAATGCAATCCTGTTTTGACCGGTTTAAACAGGTTTTTTCCGCTTTTACTTGAACTGCTATGGTGTCGTAATCATTCGAATGCATATTTGCAGTATTATACCAATCACAAATCAGCGTCCTCCAGCATATTACTATACTTCTAAAATCCTCATCCTTATTACCAAGCTGTTGTATTTTTTTTCCATCCCTAAACCCAACTAAAGCCTTTAAAGTTTAAAGTAAAGTTTAACCCTTTATTGACTGTAATTAACCCTTTTATCCTAGCACCTCTGTTAACTATATTTCGACCCCAATTTCTTTCTATGAGTGTATATTACCACGGTGCTTTTATTTCTTGCGATTTCACGGTACAACACAATATTTCTGTAGTGTAAAAAAATCTGTAAATTCACCTGGATTTTATAATAATGATTCTACAGTTGAAAAACATGAAGTTGGAAGCATAAGTGAGGTTCTCTTCAATGTACAGTGTTGTAAAATCAGGTTGCAAGTCATATTTTGTTGAGTTCTGCTCGATGATGTTTTTAATAGTCTGTTATACTTTTGGGGTTATCTCTTGAAAATAACAAAATTTTGAATTCACCAAATTAAAAAGTAGAGACACGCGTGGTCGCCAACGAGGCAAAATGAGTACGAAAAATGATGCGTTTGCAAGCTTTTTAAAGAAAAAGTAATAAAAATGGGAAAAAAAATAAAAGCGATCTCTTTGATCCTCGCACGCTGCTAGTCTTGGCATTTTTTGATTTGGTTTAAAATTTCGATCTGGTCAACTTGGTCAGGAAATCTAACCCTGACATAAGAGTTAAAAATTCTCCTCTCCTCTCTCCTAAGATATTTAGAAATATCGCCCCGAATCCAAATCAATCTTATACTATTGTAAAATTTAAGTGAATTTTCTAGTTTTTATGATATTTCTTTGAGGGGACATTATTATCCTTCAGTATAGCACACGAATTCTGTAATAAGTCTGATACGGACATTTTTTTATGATATTTTTATTATTATTTTATAACATTTTATTAAATAATAAGACCTGGGACGCATGATGAAATGTTGTGTTTTGGACAATAAATGGTACATATGTGGAATGAGAAATGGACAAAAGATGGCGAATGGTATAAAATTGGGTGGTTAATTGTTTTACTTATGAGGTATTGCGTTATGTACTGTATGAAAAACTCTGTGCGAGCAGATTGGAAATATTTGGTATAAGACTCTTGTGTCGTCTTGTACAAAAGACCACTAAGATCCTTATTAAACATTACCAAAGCTACCTACCGACATGCCTAGCTTTCCATACCAGACCCAGAATAGTAACCGGACAAGAGTCCGTGGTTTGTGGTGTGATTGAGTAGGCTTTTCGGCTTTCTTCTCGGGATAAATATGCAAATCCTATTCTTAGTAAACATTACTAAAGTTACTCACAGGCATGCTTAGCTTTCATCTCCTTTTGGATTAAATATAAAATCTTATTCTTCACACCATAAAAAATTTGTCATTCGCCAATAATGAAGGTCTGTGATTTCTGGAGTGCAGTATGATTTTTTAAGGCAAAAAATACGAAAATTTGTGGTAATTTGGAATTTACAATCTAGTTTAAAGCGTTAACGTTTATGCAATTGGGATTTTTGAACTATTCCACTTACAATGTATAATACACTAAAAGTGTGTTATGATATTTTATTTTCTGCATTATGATATCATAGTTCTATATTGTGACCTCACAGTATGATAAATTTAACTTCAATGGCCTAATGTTATATTTTTGAATTGCGATATCAAACCGTTGTAATATGGGTCAATCCTCCCTCCCGCCACTATTTTAAAAGAGAGTGTACCATGTACAAACCATGAAGTTGACTGCATATACAAATCCTGTTATTAGACTGTATATTTTAATTACGGTTTAAGGTACTTCCCCGGGGGACTTTCCCGTAACCACAGGTACTTCCCCGTATTATTTTAATTTTTAAGTTTCACTTTATTCAGTTGTAAATACTCAACTACACAATATTTTGAGTGTGATTTTGAATTGAATGTTTTTGTTACATCACAAAGAAATTATACATAACAATGAAGGCCTTTGTATGATAATAATCAAATTGAACAATATAATTATGACGTAATAAAATAATGAAATTAATATAATTTTTTTGCATATTGTGAACGCTTTCCCGCCATTTCATGTATTTCTAGCCGTTCTCTCACATAAATTACATCCACAGAAGAATGCTCATAGAATACTCATGATAAAATGTCCTAACTATATTTTGTAATAAATCGGATATTTCAAAATCCATGGGTGTAGTATATATGTATCTAATATTATCTGCCGACTTTTCATTTTTTGTGAATTTCTTCGTTTTTTTAGTTAATCTTTTGTTTTTGCTAGTAGTAGGAATCTGCCATTTTGCTATTGGGCAAACATGTTGTCTCGTATTTACAACCTCTACCAACTGAGACATTACTTACATATATATATTTTCTAACAACACTTTATGACGTCATCAATTTGGTATTTGTTACACCAAAATAGCGTGTTAGTTTTGACCAAAATCACATATGCATTGTGACCGAAAGAAAAATTTCAGATTTTGTGTGGTAATTGATAACGAAGTGACGTCATATGCATACGTCATCTGAGTTTAATTTTAAATAAGAACGGTAAATGAGTTTTTTCGTAACAAGTTTGGAATTTCGATGAATTAAAAATGTTTTCTTGTATAATATATTTGGTATATATGTATATAGTGCATATTGTGCCATGCACCAATACCATTCACCATTGCCCAACTATTATTGATATACAGTGCGTTCAATAAAACCGAACAACTTACCGCTGGCTCATGTGTGTTAAAGGGTTAAGGTTCTTGGTCGTCGAAAGAGGGTTAAAATACGAGAGGAAGGGGGCATTTGATTAAAAATAACTTTTAAGTCCGTGACCGGAAAATTCGCCGTAGGAAATCTCGCCGCAAGAGCATTTTGATGTAAAACAAGTATTTGTGATAAAAACATTTATTTTTATAGGGTTTGGGTATGCTTTTAAATACCGAATCTTTTTTTAAATGAAAAGTTGCTTCAAAAATTGTTTTTATTTTGCGGCGGTTTTTCATGCGGCGATATTTCCTATGCGGCAAAATTTCCTGCGGCAAATTTTTCCTAGAACCTTTTAGGTCCATATATTTGAGCAGTGTTGTCTCGTTATTAAATCGCAGTGACAGTCCTAGGCATAAGCATTCAGTTCCCGTCTGAGATACTATTTTCACAATAATGATGTAACAATGCGGTATAAACAGTACTGTTTTGAAGGTGGACAACTAGCATGCTTTGGGAACGAATGAATTTTTTTCGAACAGTCCATCTTGAAAACAGAAGATCTGGGATCATTTGTATGAGTGTAGTGCACATTTTCAATTAAAGCAAAAAGTATGAAAATTTGAGGTAATTTAGATACAGATACTCGTAGTCGTACCGTTTGCTGAGTGTTCACACGCAGTAAAAACATGTCATATTGAAAACTCATTTGGACGGAGAGACATATATCAGGATTGCATATTAAAAATATGGCTTCAATAAACAAAAAATTGAGGAATTTTCATATCGACCGATGGCGGACAAAAAAAAAGACGGCGCCGATTTGAAATTTTCGTCTGAACGAGCCGATTTGAATAATTCAAAATTCGATTTGAAATGCCCAATCTTAGTCGATACCCAATACTTTCGAAAATCCGTTAGTGTGAAGTCATTGTGACTTAACAATATACGTAAGGATGCACACATGATTGCCGCCGCGTTCACAATGGCGGCAAAAATATAATTCTCCGCACGAACGTGACCTACGATATCTGGCAGTAACTAGAAATTGATAAGTTGCCATCGAAAAGAGCAAATTTAGCGAGTGCCCTCTTTATGCAACTAGTTTTGTTTGACTTCATTCAGGTTAGGTTAAATTATTTCCCAACCTCCATCTGTTTATCTTATGTTGTTTATACTTTCTTGAAATTATATTAAAAGTAGGATCCTATGGGTAATACTTTTGGTAATGTAACTTTTCATAAGCCAACCTGAACAAAAGCAAATAAAACAGGGGATTAGTGATTGGACATTATTCTATTTGATGTTGCGTCTTCACTCGGTATTCCTCACGATCGCGATACTGGGACTACTGGGAATATGGTACATAATATTGATTCAATGATTGTCGCTTGGAACTTCTAATTACCGTCAATAGAGGACTTGCACGGGTCACGTGACCTTGTTTACTGGACGGCAATAAAACAAAAACGTCCATTTGGCTCCTGTCAGTTGCAAGTCGGATTATACGTTTCCGTTTTGTTTGGCTGTTGAAAATGATTATTTCGTATTGTTCCGCTGGCTGTACGTATAGTATAGACAACGAAATGGATCTTCAGTTATTTTCCACTGTTTTCAAAAGATCCGGAACGTCGCGCAATGTGGATATCATCTATTGGCAGGACTGATGGATTCATGTGAAACACGTAATTTGCATTTATAGGCAAAAATATCCCATCCTGAGCAGCACCGATCCACAACCTCCTGCCTATGGAATCAAAACATTAGACAAATTGGTGTACTGTGCGCATTCACAAATCTTTGCGAATCAAGTGTGCCTTTTGACTAAAGAAAATTTAGCATTGAAATGGCCAATCTCAATATCAACCTAGTATCTGCAGATAAAACCAATTGTTTTTTAAAAATACATTTTTGATGTGCTTTATTTTTCAAATATAATTTATAATTACTGTAAAGTGTGTGATACATTTGGTACCATGAATATCATTTGCAAATTAGCTCGGGTTACACCCCTCTCAAATAAAAGTTTAGACTCTTAAGTCATATCTCATAATATTCTTTGAACAAAATGTTGCGGCTAGCCGGCTACCCATCAGAATTTTCTTTCAGATCACAAAGTCGCAATATTACGCCTCGCTAAGTTTCATTGGCAACTGTATCTGGTTGTAGTATCGGTTTCCAACTTTAGACTGAAACCTTCACTACCACACCCACCGAAACAATTTTTTTTCTTGATAGGGTCGTCTTGAAGTTGCTTTCGTTAAAGCACAATGAACACTTTATCTCCACCAATCCACAGTAATCAAAAGTTACTTTGTCATTACGATAAGCATCAATAAATGGATACTGAGGATGTATTATCAAGTCACGCAAGCTGAGGCCTTGTGCCACTGTGGTCTTGTTGCAACGTATACTTTGCCATCCACCTATTCCATGGTCGCACCCATATCTGTAAGATAATAGATACAGATAGAGTTGACCAATGACAATAAAAAGACATTGGATCAGAGACAAAGATCAGAGATGCGGTGGCGAGCGTATTCCTAGATGGCGAATTCAATTGAATTCTGGTTATTTTTTCCAGGCCCCACGGTGTTAAACTTTAGTTATCTATTCAACCTTTCACACTTAGTAATAGATTACCTGCTAATCAGGGAAACATAGCAATTGATTATTAATTCCTTACTGTCTTACACAAGTAAAGTCTGCGACTGCAAGTAGGCCCACGCCTAGGCCTACCAATAACAGTAGTTTGTCATCTGCTTTCCATTGAAATGAGGGAGCTTGTGAATATTCAAAGAAATTGATAACGGCACATTATCACTCACCATCAACGAAGTGCTGTCCGCAAACAGTGAAACACAAGTGAGATGGCTTCTGGACTTGACACCAAGCAGTTCTGCCAATAGGCAATAGATGATATCCACATTGCGCGACGTTCCGGATCTTTTGAAATCAGTGGAAAATAACTTAAGATCCATTTCGTTGTCTATATATTATACGTACAGCCAACGGAACAATACGAAATAACCATTTTCAACAGCCAAACAAAACGGAAACGTATAATCCGACTTGCAACTGACAGAAGCCAAATGGACGTTTTTGTTTTATTGCCGTCCAGTAACAAAGTCACGTGACCCGTGCAAGTCCTCTATTGACGGTAATAGGAAGTGTACTGTTATATCGGCATTGTCCAAAATAATATCGGTAAATCTCTAACAGTAATGACCAGTCAATGTTTACACAGTATGAATTGGCTATGTCACTGTGCGTCAGTGTTTAATGTCCTTCATACCGTAAGTTGTAAAATGTCATAACGTCATAAAAAATGGCGATTTGCAAGTCATCCTTGTTTCGTCATAATATACGTCATTTCTAAGATGGCGCAATCGCGAAGCACATGTGCCTACATATAAGCAGACGAACCCATGGTTCCAATCGCCATTCGAATGGCCACTTTGTAGAAGGCTGTTAGGCTGCAATTTGGACTCCGGGGTTGAATTTTTAATATCTCGGCCCTGGGCCATAATAACGAAATTTGTGTCTTTTGTGATTGGTAATGGATGTTGCGATGGCGAGCGTAATTGCAAATCTTTAGCATGAGGTGCGAACGGTTATCGGTAAGTCAGCTACAGTGTGGCACTAATTATCAATTATAATCACGCTGAATTTATTGGATAATTCAAAGAAAACTTTACTTATTAAATTCAAATACACTAGAAATGCATTTGTAAGTTATGTATATTGATCATCTTAGACGTGATTGTGATGTAGACATTACGTCTACTAGATTCTATTATGATGTAAAAAATGACACGGTATTGAAATTGATCAACTTGGTTTATGAATTATAACTAGTTCCAAAAACTCAAACTACGTTCGTTACATTTTCGAGTTTCTTTGAATTAGTGTTTGATATAACCCGATTCTTTACTCTTCGGACTGTATTTCTGAATATCGCGGGGCAAATAGTTCCCGGAATAGTGCAAATGTGGCCGAGTTATATCAGACAATCGCGCGCTCACGATGTGATTGGTTGTTATTTGCGAACAACGCCTACAAAACGCCCACTGTAAATACAATTTCCGAGGTTACTTTCGTTCAACAGACGGTTTCGTGCGCCTTTGTATTACAGTTCTGAAGCCTGTCATATCGTTGTCCAAATTAGTTTGACAAGTTGGAACCTAGCCAAGTACCGGTCAAATACAAATATATTTTAAGTTTTACGCGATATATGTATGGTACAATTTTCTGAATTTAGAGTATCATAATGCTCAATTTTATTTCTATTGCGTTACCGGTATGCGGCATATCTAAAGATATGATAAGAGTTAATTTTGATATCATTTGTAAGCAAAAGCTGGCAAGACAGTTTGGATAACGATAGAAAAACCGAAGGCATATGGCAAATCACGGGCACTTCCGATCAGCTTCCGGTATCGGGTTATTTTGCCAGTTAAGTGCATTGCGGCACAAGTGTATCATGTCTGCATGTAGTACAGCTATATCCAGATATCTGTAGCGGAATGTCTTTTCATCAGCAAAATACATGAATAGGCGCCAGTTTGAATTTAACGTTGAAATAAATTGTCTGACATTGTATGTCGAACCGCGGGCTCCTCAGGTCAGGTAGTTAGAGTTAGTAGCCGAATTGTGTAACCAGTTTATGGCAGGCTTGTGGGTCTCATGCAGTTTCTTACCTAAGATACTTCTAGTGGGTGTAGCATGACAATTTTTCCACGTATCAATCCTAACCCCCACCTGACTACACCATCCAAAAATTATGTCAACACGACGTCACAGTGACGTAATAGAGCCCTTCAAACTATACGAACTGCTATCCAAGACGCGCAAACGAGCATGGCGTAGTCAGATGGGGGTGAGGATTGAAATATCAATAAATTGTTATGCTACGCCCGCTAGAAGTACGTTAGGTACGAAACTACACGAGACCCAGGCTTGTTTGTACTGTAACTGCATATATACACAAGGGTCGGGAGCCTAGATGACCTTAATCGGTCTTGCACACCGACCCCCCAAAACAATGATCAATTATTCATTGTTATTACTGTTGTTATTAACTATTTTCTTTATTGTATTATGTTTATATTAGTGTTAATTTTGTTTTTGTGGCAGTAAATCTCTCTCTAACTGGGGAAGAAATAGGATAGGATTTTACATATTTTAGTATTTATCCTGGGGGGAGAGGAAAACCGATAAGACGGCTTAATCATATATAGCGAACCATGGTCTCTCGTACGATTACCAGTCCATATCGGGTATGGGTCAGTTACCCAAGTATCTGTTTCAAATCTAAATCTGCACGCTTCAAACCTTACTTGAGGTTTTGTTTGCTCTCCTGATTCTATAATCAGTTACTTCTATTTTTCGTTTTTATCTATTATTTTATCGTCTATTGCTGATTATTGAGTCGAAATATACTTATACTTCATGTGCATGGATTTAGGGTCATTACTGTGCTGTTATTTCTTCCGAAGTCCATGAATTTGAAATGATTACATGCTGTAGCTATCCTCGTGTTCTGGTGGTCAGATGAAATGGCAGGGTCCATTATTCTCCATGAAATGAAAACCTAATTTATTTTTTATCTCCTTGGATATATATGAAACTCTATCTTAAATTTCAACAATATTTGTTATTTTTAGATTTTTTTGTTTTTAGTAACATCAATAACTAAGATAACTAAAATTTTACTAATTGGGATGTCTTCTGTGAAGAAACCTCTTATATTTCGACAGGTACTTTGATATTACACTGTTATAGCCCCACCAGTATTTCCATAGATCCTGTAGGTCGGTGTTTTTCAGACTTTTTTTATTCATGACCCTCTTGGCTCAGCCAAGAATTAAAATGGTGAAAAATTTAATATTACAGTAAAAATTCAATGAGACTGATGTGCTTGCATATTATCGCACAAAAGATCAGAATTGGTCAGTCAGTACTCAAGATATCTTACCCAGGTTTATTGTTTTCAATCAGTAATTGTTTAGGTATTTTTACTTCATTTAATACATCTGCGAGGGCACAAACAATATATGGTATCGATAAATTCCCTTTGCAATTTAAAAATTTTTTTAAGATTTCATAGACACCCTATATATTATTTACACAAGTGTATTAATGAAGCACCTGCTCAAATATGATTTCTTTTTAATATCATCTGTAATGACATTTTCAAAAATCTACTCAGGGCATAACAAATTGAGAAGGCTTGACAATAAAAATTATCTTATACATTATTTATTATGCTTCCCCCCATAAACAAGGCTTTGTACAAGCAGCTATTAATCATAACATTTACCCATAATTCCATATCATCATGCTGTGCTCTCATTGGTCGATTAAGGAGTGGAAGCGCAGTTCTCTCAGAATGACAATCACCTGGACAAAATGTAAACGAGTTAACACTAATAAGAAAAGAGCTGCGATATTCTGAAGCTGTCAAATTTTTTCTGTTTTGCCAATTTCCAACCTATTTATTACACCATAGGTGGGGTGATAGTCGTGGGATTTATACCCAAGATTGGATCGAATCATATGCCCCCCATCCAGTGTTCCCTCTAAGGTGTGCGCGTGTGCGAGCGCACACAGCTTTCAGAGGCTGCGCACACGCATAGATTTAGTGCGCACAGACGTATTTCGATGTAATGTAACAATGTTCTTTTGTTCTTTTTTCATCCTTTGAATTCAAATAAAACCATCTGTTACAATCAATTTCATTTACTATTTTCCATGTATGTTCATTGTTATCTACTGATAACATATAGCCTTCACAAAAGCATTTACAATCTATAGAAAAACTTATTGAATAACAAAAATTCTTAGTAAGCCCACTTATTATTATTAAAATTTCTTCATTGGTTTTTGCACAAATATTAGTCATTTCCAAAAAAGTGCGCACACACCAAAATTTCTGCGCACACATACTACAAAAATTAGGGGGAACATTGCCCCATCTCACCCAGGGTGTAACATAAGGGGTGTGCATTAGGCAAATCCGAAGAATCCGGTTCTATAAAAAGTTACATATTAGTTGGTGTGAGATATTAGTGGTTTCTTGTACGGGGGCTTGTCGGAGTGAAAGCAGTGAATAGGTGTCATATAAAAAAATATACTAAACCAGTGGTTGCCAAATGCCAACCTCTTATGGTTTGTGGCCCCCTTACAGAGGCTTTTAGCACTTATGGTCCCTCTGTTTGTCACTACAGGGGTATTTATAGTGTTATTTTTTATTGGCAGATCCCAAATCCCATTATGTTCAAACAATTCCTGCACAAATAAGTGAAAAAAAATGTAAAATAATTTTATCAAGCAATAAAATTAGGAAGACGGTGAGTTTTTTTTTGCGAACAGAAAAGTAAAATCAGTTTTGCGTCCTTCAGATGCTCTGTGGCCCCCTTGGTGGGCCATGGGACCGGTTGGGAACCGCTGTATTAAACTATCATAACACAGAATATGCCGAATAATTGATAATTTGATTTCAGCCGTCCCTGCTTACAACTATATTTTTTTTTTCAGTTGTTTGATAGAGAGACATGCACTTACACCTACTTACTGGGATGTCCTGAGACAAGAGAAGCTGTGATCATTGACCCAGTGATTGAGTTGGTGAGAGATATGGGCGCTCCCGAAGTATGTGCACCAAGATGGCGCACAACCTGAACCCTAACCTGGTACACATACTGTGTTCATGATGTGCGCCTTTGGCGCACATCCTTCTGGAGCTCTGAGATTGGTTCATAATATTATGATTATCTAAAGATGTATGGATTGAATATTCAAATTCATCGGAATAATAATTTATTATTAATTTAATTATAATTTATTTATTATAAGCATCATTATTTTGTTTCCATGGTTAAAGATAGACTGTAGTGCTAGGAGTCTACTTTTTTGTTGAATCGATGACTGCTTGCTTTATACCAACTAGCCTCAACGTATCTATTGTTTTTTTTTTCGAATAGCATATTCATTTAGTTTGATTTTATTCTATTTATCATGTTCTATTAGTTTTTCACAAGGGGCCCGCTGCTCTTTAATCAGTATTGGAACTTCCCTCCACCCTGGAGTGCGATTTTTTTTATATTTCTTCCAATTCGTTTATGTATAGGGCGTATTTTCAGCGATAAATCACAGACCTGTCTAAGTAACCTATTATATATATTGACGAAGAAGGGCGCTCAAGAAGCGTGTATGCCAATATGGAAGAAACCAATTTTGTTTGTCTATTTTACAACAAGTTGTGTAAACGGACTGAAACCTATGGGGGTATATTCACTTGGCTAACAAAGACAGTCCCCGAACTCATAATAGAACTAAAATAAGGAAAATTGGAATAAAATTATGGCCTAACCCTAACCTGGTAAACATACTATGGAAGTGTCAAGGAGAGCATGATAACCAAATAAGGTTCAATTCATTGTCTTTAAATTCTAATTATTATTCTAGGTTGAACGAGATACAACCTTGATCAAAGAACTAAATCTGAACTTAAAATATGGGCGTGAGTAAAATTCATTATTTATTTAGTCAGGTTGATAATACTGCTGCAGTTCCCTCCTTGCATAAGACTTGTCATGCATATTGTTAAGTACAGGAGTATTTACTCAAACGTATATAAAATATTGCACACAAAAATGTCTAAAACAAATTAGATATTCAAATGGATTTGAAATAAGTTATATTTAATATAGTAATTTTATTTCATAGATAATTAGCATATTTATTTTCGTTGGGTTAGATAAGTGCAGATATTTCAGGGTTGGTGATTGGTTCAGGGTGAAAACAATGAAGATATTTTTAAGTATTTGAAATCTTACTCTGAATAGGACTCCGCCTCACAAGCAGTTACTGTTATGAAAGGAACTATTATGTGGCTTTGCATCGCTCACCTTAATTTTGGGAACATGTTTACGATCGCACCTTCACTGGTTAATAGTTCTAAGAACCATTGAAGATAATTTTGTGTGAGTGGGTTGCCTTTCAGATTCAGATATTTATTTTTCGTCGTGCAAAAACATTGTACATTTAAACAAATGGTAAAAATTAAATAAATTCATTGAAAGAAAAAAGTACAATATTTGAACTGCAATGGACGAGGGGTCGTGAAAAGACTATCAAAAGTCATCATGTCAGCGACACTATATATTTCATATATTTGAGCATTGCTCTCTTGTTTCAGTGAATACACATGTGCACGCTGACCATATCACTGGGACTGGAAAATTAAAAGAAAACTTTCCTGGATTTAAATCTGTCCTTGGGAAACATTCTGGAGGGAAAGCTGATGTTTGTATGGACCATGGAGATAAAATCACATTTGGAAATCAGGTTTGAAAAGTTTGATTTGGACTGAATTCAGAAATAGTTTGAATAGTTTTTGCCACATTTTTGATGCATCCCTTCCCTATTTTGAAACTACTCATTCGCCACTTACTATGCACATACACTCACAAACATACATACATACCCCATCAAACATACACTCATACATAGCATACATACACATACAAACAAACACATGGACATGCATACATTCATACACTCCCACATACATACACAACACATGGATACACATTCAAGCACACACATGAACATACATACATCCAGTCACACATACATACACAAATACATATGCACACACACACACACTTCATTTTATTTTACCCATTTTTCAGACCCTCGAAAGTCGCAGCACTCCTGGACACACACACGGATGTATGACATATGTTTGCCATGAACACAAGATGGCTTTTACAGGGGATGCTCTCATGATAAGAGGATGTGGAAGGACTGACTTCCAACAAGGTATTTTGGGGTTTCGTGTAGTTTCGTACCACAATAACTTCCAATGGGGGCGGCGCAACAACCTGCACCCAACCCCCACCTCACAGCGACGTAACAAAGCCCGCCAAAGTATACATACGGATGGTCATCCAAAACGAGCAGTCGATTAACCGAAGTCGAGCAAGCTATTTTTCTCGTTTTCTCATCGTCACGATCCCGATATGAGAGAAATGTTTGGCGTTAGTGAGTTCGTTATCATTAGCGCAAATGCCATTTTAGACAGATTGTAGCTAAATTTTGGCTAGCTTTATGACACTATTGTGACATAGTAGTGACTTAATTTTTAAATGGCATATAGTCAGGTGGTTAGGAATAACATATGCAAACAGGGTCATGTCTTGACCACTATAAGTACTTGTGGTACTAAACTATACCTATATTTTGGACAATTGCTTAGGTATTTTGTATCACACTCCTAGTACCATTTCTTATGTTGCAAGGAGCCGTTTGCTTATTATTCCTTCAACAATAATGCATTGTCTATTACTAACTGTGGGCACGATTCCTAAAGGCTATGAAAACTGAAAAAGTTTTCCCGGGGTATATTTGTATCAAATTGAATAAAATTCAGATACTCTTAACTTGCCAATCAAGCTGTTTAAATGACCTTTGACCTTTTCACAGGAAATGCATCTCGTCTGTATGATTCTGTCCATTCACAAATATTTACCTTGCCAGACAATTTCAAATTGTACACAGCTCATGATTATAAAGGTAAAATTTTTGAAATAATATTTTGTGGGAGTGATTATCATCACAGTTGTTTGTATATTTTGGATATTCTTAGGACCAGGAGCCAAATTTGGCCGACTTAGACTGGCGGGCCATGTAAGTGTGACGTTAAAAGTTACATTTCATGAACACTAGCACTGTGGCCCCTTCCCAACTGCTTTGTGGCCCCCCAGGTGGCCCGTTTGGGAACCGCTGATCTAAGGGTTCCTGGAACACAGTGTTACAAAAACAAAAGATGAAAACAATAAGCCTCGTGCCAGAACTAAATTTAATCAAAATCTCAACAAATTCCTTAAGCTATTGTTAGCTGAAACATCGAAATTTGGTTTTAGTCCGATTGTAGCAGCGTTAGTCGGGCCAGATCTTGCCGGGGATTGAGTATGCTCATGTCAGTTCTAGATTTCAGTCTTATTCTTATAAGGTAATTTCATGACTTCATGCTGAAAAAGGAGTCCCAGAAACCTTTAGGTCAGCGGTTACCGAGGGCATGGGGGGCTGTAAAGCAGTTGGAATGGGCCACAGTGCTAGGTAGAAAACTGATTTCGCTTTTCCCCTTGTCAAGAAAACTTTGTTTCTAGCCAGTTTCATTGCTTGATAACGTGATTTCACAGGGTGTCCTCACTCGGTTGAGCATGAATTCTTTGAACATGATAGGGTTTGAAATCGGCCGATCAAAATGATGCTATAAATTCCACTGGAATAATAAACAGGGGGGCCATGAGAGCTAAAAGTCTCAGAAAGGGACTATGATCCATAAAAGGTTGGGACCCACTGATCTAAATAGACCGGAATGTTAAAATCAGTAATTAATCAATGTTCTATCAAATTTTGTTGGAATCTATACTTAACGATTTTTAATGTCTCTCTTTCTCAGGTCGTACGTTAACCACAGTTGAAGAAGAGAAGAAGTTTAATCCACGTTTAACACAAACAAAAGAAAAGTTTATTGAAATAATGAACAATCTTAATCTCTCTCCTCCCAAGTTTATTGGTGAGTCGATGTATCAATTTGGAATTAGTATTTATCCCAGGGGGAGAGGAAAGCATTAAAGCATTAAGGCAGATTATCGGTAATCATATGGCGAACCACGGCCTCTCGTCCGGTTACTAGTCCATGTCGGGTATGGGATTAGTTAGCCAGGTATTTGTTTTCGGAAGCATGGACTTGATGGTGGATGAAGCCGTAACCGACAAGCGGTTACGTGAACCACCCTACGGCGGCGAGGAGTCCAGCAATCCTCTCGCACATAATTAACCCTACATGGGATTAGAACCTGTGAACCCCCGCAGGGTAATCAGAGGTGCAGTGGCTAGCGTATTCTTAACGCTTAGCACAATGAGCCACACTGCTGAGCTGAAGATTTTCATATTTTTACTGGATAAAGGAGAGATGATGAGATGGCAAAATCTCAGGGCGACCAATGCCCCTTGTCCTGTTACTAGTTCATGTCGGTTAGGAAAATAGCTTGTATGTCTTGACTTGATAATGGGGTATGTCACAACCAACCAGAAGTTATGTGAAAAATACATCGGCAGGTAAATCCAGCAGTCCCTTGCACAGTATCACCTCCACAGGTTATCAAATGTGTTCCTAACTATTCCCTACAGCAGTGGTTCTCAACCTTTCATGACTCATGGCCCCCTGTTTATAGTCCATAGAGGTATTTATAGTGGTGTTTTTATTGGCAGAATCCATATCCCATTATGTTCAATCAATTCACTCATAAAAAAGCGAAAACACCTTGCGAAATAACCTTGTCGAGCAGTAAACTGGGAACAACAGGGAAATTTCTCGTAACATGAAAAGTGAAATCAGATTTGGGCCCAGCATCGTGACCCCCCCTCCAACTGCTCTGTGGCCCCCTTAGGGGGCCGAGGGCCCCAGGATGAGAACTGCTGCCCTACAGGATCCAAACCGATAGGATGAAGTATAATTCTTAGCAATTGAAGTTGTACATGCACAGTATTCCTAAGTTGCTTTCATTTACTTTTGTGAGGTCCACAGGCTTCAACTCAGGCTTCATATTTTGCTGTTTTAATTTGTAACTGAAATTTGACCCATCTATTCCATGCTTCCGAAAACAAATACCTGACGAACTAATCTCATACCCGACCTGGACTGTTAACCGGACGAGAGGCCGTGGTTCGCCATATGATTAAGTCGTCTTATCGGCTTTCCTCTCCCCCGGGATAAATATGTAAAATCCTATCCTATTCAAGCAATGCTTTCTTGTTTTCTCAGATAAAGCTGTTCCAGCCAACCTTGTCTGTGGAATATTCGACCCGTAGTATGCCAATTACCTTCTTCGCTTATTGTGCGTTTTTGTTTTTTTAACATGTACTTTACAAGTTCAAATTTTTTATTCGAAGGCTCTCACCCTGACGTGGGCCAAATCCGGCCTGTTGGGTGATTCATTCTGGCCCGCCTGATGCTGCCATAAGCAAACTAAAATCAAATTTTGATGTTTTAGCTAAAAATACCTCAAGGAAATTGTTAAGATTGCGATTAAATTTAGTTTTGGCACGAGGCTTATTGTTTTCCACTTATGCTTTTGTAACACTGTAAATATTATTCATAATTGTAACGTTTTACACACACTTACATATGGCCCGGCAGCCTAGGTGGGCAAAATTTTTGGCCCCTGATTCAAAAACCTTGCTCACCCCTGCTCTTGACAAACATTAATTAATTTATAGACAACTTGATCTCTTTGGTTCAGCTCAGAGACTATTCATTTATTATTACACTTCAATTAGGTTTGAGGCATGCGATTTTAACCTTGAAACGGTAGCTTACGATTCAAATGCATTATCCAAAATTGAAATCTGGAAAGTCACATCAAATCTTGAAATGGCTGTCGTTGGTCGGGCGGAGTGTTACAAAATAAAATTGGTAAAGTACTAAAGTTAAATGTAAGAGTTTTGAGCGATTACATTATACATATTATGCAAAACCTTATTTTTCCATATTTTTTTATTGCTGATTTTTACATAATTTACATGGGGGCTCATGATCTGCATAGCCTAACAGAGTGAACAATAGCCTAATAGTGACCATATTAGCAACCCCCTGTCAGTTGTTTCCTACCTCTTTCTAATATTAAGATTTTTGTTGTATATGGAGTCCATAAATTCTTGAAATTTTTCAAAATGTCAAAGGAGATATAATTCATGCACTGTACAGTATAATGTTCCGACTTACACTGAAATTCGGGCTATACCGAGTCTCAGGAACGGAACTGCGTCGTAAGTCGAGGACTCCCTGTACATCAATACTTATCCATATATTGTTTTGGCCCCTTGATGTATGTACAACTTTGGTTAAGATATATCGAGGACTGACTTCATAACAAAATTGAAACTGTAAAATGACTTCATGGACACCCGTATAACCATATATGGTTGAGTGTAAAAACTTACCCCTTACTCAGTACCTGCATTATGGAGTTCAGAATTCTGATGAACTTGGTTTTTGATATGGTGGCATTGTTTTGTATATATTCACTTCACACAGGGGTATCACACATTCAAACTTCTATCACAGCGCTATATTTAACCTTTTTTTGAAAAGTCACTATTAAGCACCCTTCCCTCTGGGTACTATATTCTTTTTAACTCTCTGGTGTTTTTTTATTGAATGGATAGCCATAGTTTGACTATATGCAAACTACGGATAACTCAATCGGGCCCGCCTGATGCTGCCACAACCAAATTTTGATATTTCATCTGAAAAAATAGCGATTTATCGAGATTGCGATTAAATTTAGTTTTGGCATGAGGCTTATTGTTTTCCAATTTTGCTTTTGTAACACTGCAAATATTCTTCATAGAATAACACTTACATGGCCCATCTGTCTTGGTGGGCTAAATTTTTGGCCCCTGGTCCAAAAACCTTGCCCCCCCCCCCCCCCTGGCATAGCGCATACCTAACTCTTAGCGCAGTGAGTGAACCCAAACCCAAGTGTAAGTAACTATTCAGCCTAAACATTTATTACTTTTCTAAATTTTTTGGATACGAAGTTCCCTCTAGTAAAGCCTAACTTTTATGCACACCAGTTTACTGACATTTCTTCATTTGTATTTTAATATTAAGCAGGCACTTATTTCAACTATTTGGTATAATTTGTATATTTTTGTTCGATACATATAAATATATAAAAATATATTGTGTTTCACCAGAAATCATCAAAGGTTCGGTATATTAGAATAGACAAGTCGAATGCGAAAAAGGGTAGGATCTTTATATTCGTTGGGGGAAAGGAGAAACGGGTAATAGGAACAGAATTGAGAACAAACTTATAATTCATTAGTATACAAAATTAAAAATATACATAATTTATAATTCACAAAATTACGTCACCTAAGTGATAACGTCATGATATTTCATTAGTGCACTCAAAAATGAAGAACCTACACTTCGCCATTTACATATGAGGTCACTTAGGTGATGACGTCATGAGGATCGACTTTGATTGGTGGAGCAAAACAACATTGTTTGTAGTAGTATGCAGTCCCGATGATTATCGCAATGACCGTCAGGATCAGCGCAAGTGAGCCACCTCCTATCTGCCCTTGTCTGTAAGATGAAGAAAAAGGTGGTGGTATTCGGCGGATTCACGCGAACTAGTTCGTTTTAATCAGCGAAACCCTTTTTGTTTTGGATGTTAGAGTTGTTTTAATTTGTAATTTCAAAGGGTTTAACGCAGTCCACAACAACACAGCAAGCAAAATACAAATAATGGTGAATGCATGGATAAAGATGAATAGGACTCATAAACAAAATACTTTCATTAGTGAGTGTGAGTATTTGTATATTAGTGATGGGAGAGGATTAGCGATGTAACTTTAATGGTCCCGGTTTTCCATAAAAATACCTAGTTACGCTTTTAATGCGTTTCTATCAGAAGAATAAAATAAGTCGCGGAGACGAGACATACTTTATCTTTTGTTAAAATTATTGAACTACTTACCCCCGATCTGTGTCGTAGAAGCATCCATGAGCTGTGAAAAAAAATATATAGTATATTAGCAGTTCAATAGTTTTTCATGAATTTTATGTTTTTGTTTACACTAATCATTACTGTCTTGTCATTATTTTTATTGCATGCCTCACTATTCACTAGTATAAATACTGTTCATTCATTCATTCAGCTGTAAAGGGACTGTCTGATATGTTGAGCATGCGCTCTGTCTGTTTGAGTTATTTACTTCAATGATAACTTATCATATATGTCCTTCCGATACGGTGTCCTACATATTCGATTAAAATAAGAAGTCACGTGCGGAACTCGTTGTTTTGCTTAATCAACCGGGTTTGTTGTTTACAAATCAGTAATTGTTTAAGTATTTTTTACTTTATTGAATACATCTGTGAGGGCCAAAACAGTTTATGGTATCGATAAATTTCCTTTGCAATTTTGTAAAATTTTAAGATTTCATGGACACCCTATACATGTTTTATTTTTGAATAAACAAATCAGGCCTATTTTAAAATTACACTCATTCAACCAAAGACACGTTCTTGAGGCCCTGCGGTGTGGTGCATCGTGTTATGTATATATTAGGAACACGCTTGCCATCGCACCTCTGATTACTTTGCATGGGTTCGCAGGTTCGAATCACATGCGGGGATGGGTATGTGCGAGAGAATTGCTGGATTCCTCGTCACCATATGGCATAGGGTGTTTCACGTGACCGCTGGTCGGTTGCGGCTTTCTCCACCATCGAGTCCATGCATCTGAAAACAAGTAACTGGCTGACTAATCCCATACCCGGCATTGACTGGTAACCGGACGAGAGGCCGTGGTTCGCCATACGATCAAAGTCGTCTTATCGGCTTTCTTCTCCCCCGGGATAAATATGTAAATTGTATTCTATTCTTGATAGATCCTGGCAAAGGTATTTTGAGAAAGTTTGGACCTGGGTATTTATTATGCCTATACTACAGAACAGGTTCAATTGACCAATCTTTTCCGATTTAATTGAAAACCATTAGATTCCGATATTTTGATAGGATTACACTTACCGGATATTATCTGAGTAATCAGGAAAATCAGTACTACTGTCGATGAGTAGAGCTGCATCTCTTCCGTCATAAATGAAAATGAAATTTCTTCCGTTTGTAAGTACCGAATTTACAACTTTTAAGAACACTAATTTATACTGATATCTAGAAAAAAGGCAGATATATTATAGCATCATTTCGACATAGAAATCTATCATTATCAGTAGAGGCAACGCGAGACTAACTCTCAACCCTTCCCTAATGTCTTTGCGTTATTTGATACGTTTGCGTATATTGCAAGGATGCTGTAACTGGAATAAACGTACCCCCATATCGTCACGCTAATAACCGAATTGCGTAAGTCATTTTTGGCGGTTTTGATTTTTTAATAAAATAGGTATTTATGTAATGCTGCGTACCTGTCTGTTAACTCAGATTTTATTTTAAGAATTCCGAAACCCATAAAAATTGAGATTTTGTATGACATGCAAATTTGTTCAATTGTTTCGTCATAATGAATTATCATTGTTAACGCAGAACTATTGTGACGTCACAAAGGCAAAATAACCTCGGCGAAGGATTTTCGAGTTTTTGCATCTCAGATTCTAGTTTAGCGCTTATAAATTTGAATATATACTACAGTATAGGAATGCGTGCACTTGTGATATTCACTGTCTGCGTCCAATTCACCTTGGTTGGCTACTACATAAGGGTACATTGATGTTTTATTCTTTATATTTAATCTTAGTCTTATTTCGATGGGTGTGCAGAGCGTGTTATAGTGATGAAAATATATATTTTTAAACATAACAAATAATGTAATTGAAACATATTAGCTATTTTGAGGATTAGACATCGTAGATACTAAGAATTACATTCGTTTTTGGATTGTTTGGTTTTCAGGACTGGTGCACATAGTCAAGTTGCAAAATGCGTATGTTCCCAAGTCACATTTCTGCCTAAGTCACATTGCGCCATTATGACGTCATATGACTGCGTCATACAAATTAACTTAAATCCGGCTACATTCAAAAAATTGAGCTATGGCAAATTATTGACTCTCAATGGCATAGCAATATCATTAGAAAGTTTTTCACGTTTTTCTCAAAACTGCTAAAAATGACTTACGCAATTCGGTTATTAGCGTGAAGATATGCAATTCAAGAGTCATTGTGCAGCATATTATATCTATCATGTTCATATTCACTGTTGTGATATTGGTGAGAAGTGCGACACGCCCTTTTTTAAATGAGTATCATGACGTCACGTGTTACGGTCAGCCTCATATCGACGCATGAAATCCAAATTGGGCTAAGTCCATTTTTCTAGTTTTGAGAAAAACGCAAAAAACATTTTTTTTTTGTTTCTTTTTTTTATTTCTCTAATACCTTACATCGAGGATGTCTAGTTTTTATGGTCCACCAAAGTTACAATGAAGGCCATATTTAGATGGTATAAAAAAAATTGTGCTCCGCCCCAATTTTTTTTGGGGGGGGGGGGGGGGTTGGACTTAACCCTTTTTGGCTCTCAATTTTCTGGACCAGAAACAATTTTATTGGACTTAGGGCCCCTTTATTATGTTATTATAGAGGATGGTATGGACTTAGCGCTTTGTATTATATTTTTTGAGAGGAGCTATGTCCAAAAAACGGACTTAGCCCCAACTTACAATGCAGTTATCCAGAGCAGTCCACTATAGTAGACACAGCTCTGTTTAGTTCTCAAATGCCCTAAAAAAAGCAGGGTTATGTCCATAGCTGTCTTGAGATCTAGAGCACCTAGAGATAAGGCAAATAGACCCAAATGTAGATAGAGCTAAGTCCAGGAAAATCAGCAATTGAAAAATGTCATTTTTTGGAAAAGTGGACTTAGCACTGTTTGGTTTTGAGGTGTCGATATACACTTTTTGAATAATGGCTACCCCCTCCGTCTCACCTAGGCCTCAGATGCTCCGCTGATAGCGCATATAGGAACTAGAACTAAGATCTGAAGCCGAGCCCGACCCGACCCGACCCGAAATTCGGTTCTGAAATGTCAATCATTACGTTCGGGTCGGGTCGGGCTTCTCTATCGTTGACTTTTTTATTATGTAAATATGTGTTTGTAAAAAGAATATATATAAATATATATATATATACTAAAACTTTGTGTGGAATTCAGAGAACACCTAAATAAAATATGAAATTTCGGGTTTTCTCCGGACTAGGGCCTGCAAATCCAGTTGTTTAGTCGAGCTCGGGTCGGGTTTAATATTCACGGGCCCGGGTAGGCCTGGAATTTTTGGGCCCGATCTTACCTTTAATAGGAACCTATGCTTGCAAAAGTAGCCTGCCGATGTGTCGGAATCAATTTAAAATCATATTCTACATGGCTCGTATAATGTTTATCCCACCTTGCCTAATGGTAAATCACGCATTGTTTCTACCGGGAGACCGTCAATATTAAAACTTATCCTTCATGACCCGTATTGGCATAAATTGCTTCAGCTATCTATAAGTCATACACAGCTCTTGGCGTGTTTGCGTGCAACTTATCTATCAGTCCTCTTTAAGTTGAGGCCTCGCCACCTTCCTTTTAGTAAAATTTATTAAATACTATCGGTAGAACATGTATAATGCCTCTACGTCTCATCCCGGACTTTTGACCTGTGTCTTCATCTTGTACATTGTCATTATTAAATCTTTCGCCACTTTGCCCGTCGCCTTTCTTACTGGAAGGCTAGGTGATAGCTACATTCTCTTCTCATGCCTTTCTCGCGGCACTCTGGTTTTCGCAAATTTTTTTCCTTTAATAAATTTAACTAGTTTATTTGTGTGACCTAGTCAGATGTCTTTCAGGTACAAATACTACGGGAGTCACTTGGCTAGTCCCCAAACTCATAATAGAACTAAAATAAGGGAAATTGGAATAAAATTACGGCCTAACCCTAATCTGGTACACATACTACGTTCCGGTGTCCGCCATCTTGGTTCACTTACTTCGGGAGTACTGTCTGAAGGCTATATGGATTAATATACACAGTTTTTTTTCCTCGCGACAGAATTGGAACAATTCAAACACACACAGTGGTTCTACTCACCACACCGCTGAATTATCATTCTGTTTGTGTTCACTTTTGACATCACGATGAAAAGGAACGTCAGCCTTTAGTTTATAATGTTCAGAAAGCTTTATATAAATTTTACAGACATCGCTTCCACCGACGAAATAAAATGATTTTTAACTTTTGTTTATTTGAGGAGGCATGTAAGTGATTTTTGAACCAGGGATCAAACATTTTGCCCAACTAGACTGGCGGGCCATGTAAGTATAAAGTAAGAGTTACATTTTATGAACAATATTTGCATTGTTACAAAGCAAAGGTGGGAAACAATAAGCCTCGTGTTAAAACTAAATTTAATCGCAATCTCAACAAATTCCTTGAAATATTTTAAGCTAAAACATAAAATTTGGTTTTAGTTTGGTTGGTTTGCCCATGTATGATATGAAGGAACAGAATTATCCTTGTGCAACAGAAGTAAAACGATCCAAACACAGTGGTTCAAATCACCACACCACTGAATTGTTAGTCTGTTTGTGTTCTCTTTCGACACCACGATGAAAAGAAACTCTAGCTTTTGGTTTATACTGTTAAAAAAAACTTGTGAGCTTTATATCAGCGGTTTCCAACCTGAGACCCGTGGCCCCCAAAGGGACCAGAGAGCATTTTTAAAGGAGGCCACAATGCTTGGCGCAAAACTGATTTATTTTTCACCCCCGTTCTTCCTAGTTTCATTGATTGATAAGATTATTTCACAAGATGATTTACCTTTTTTGATCTTTAATTATGTGAACATAATGGGAATTCCAATCATACGAATATAATACCACTATAAATATCACTGGAATGATAAACAGGGGGCCATGGGTGCTAAAACCCTCCAGAAGGAGGCCCACGAGCCATGAAAGATTGGGAGCCCCTGCTTTATATCTATGTTACAGTCATCGCTATTACTAACGGTGTAAAACTGAGCGCTTCCTAAATTTTAATGTTTTTGTCCTAATGAGCGAAGCTGTATTAGTTAGACACAGACGTTCTCAAAGTGATCCGTGCGGAGCTCCAGGGCTCCGTGAGAGAAACCCAGGGGCTCCGTGAGATATTCGTTTACTTATTTAAATACTGACAATTAGCTAAATTTGTAACTTACCAAAAAAGCGATAAATACATTCGAGTCAATTATTGAAGTAATTTAAATTTAATCAGAAATATTAATCGTTAAGTAAGTTTTTAATTATTGTGTAATTATTTGATTAATTCCGTAAATAACCTCTTCATGGGCTCCGTAGTAAAGGCGTCGATCCTAGCCCCGTTGGCAATGTAAGCTGAAGATCTAGTCTAGTTGGAGGCGCATGTTGGCCACTCCTCTGAGAACGTATTAACTTGAAAATACTAAATCGAAAAGTTTCCGAACAGTGGGTAATCGATATATAGGGTGTCCATAAAGTCCGTTTACATTTCCAATTTTGTTATGAAGTCATACTCAATATATCTTAATCAGATTTGTTGTTTTTTAATCAGTAATTGTTCAATTATTTTTACCTCATTTAATACATCTGTGAGGGCCAAAGCAATATATGGTATCGATAAATTCCCTTTACAATTTTAAATTTTTTTAGGACATTATGGGCACCCTAATGTCACTGATAACAATAAAGTAAGCATCACCAAAATAAACTTACTTCACAAGTTACTGTGATATGCCATTTAATTTTTGAATTCTCTATTTTAAATACTCGAACTTATCGACTAGAAAGTTGTATGAAGTGAAAACAAAATGTCTTGTTTTTATTAAAATGAGAAACAAAGGAATCGTCTCGCCGAGGAAATATCTCACAAAAGATGATGAGTCAAACTTCAACACGGAATTTATTTGGGCTGAGAACCAGCGTTGCCAGTTTTTTATATGACTTTAAAATTTTATGTTAAATATTCGAATTTTGTTTATATAGGACAAACTTAAACGTTTTCAATCATAAAACACCGTTACACAAAAATCACTAAAATCTTGGGTAAAAATTTAAACTAATTCCAGAAAGAGGCTTCCGAAAAAACATACTATTCAGATACAAAAATCCTAATTAAAGCTGAAAATGTGGCAACCCTATCTGTGAGTACCTCCATAGGAGAGAAGTCCCGGTTTCGATTAGTGTTTGGATTAAAAATATTGGATTGTCAGTAGCTGAGCGTACGTGATATGAACTCATTTGTCAATGTTGGTCTCTGAGGTAAAGAATTCTTTTCGGCTTGGAAATTACCGGGTCGTCTGCGACTAAAAATCTATGACTAGCATATTATTATTGACGTCGTGTACATACAAAAGTTGACAGATCCGCACAAGTTGGGTAGAAAAGCTATTTGAGACAAGTTATTGGGTTTTGTATCAGAATATAGTAACCTGGTTGTAATATGACGTCACAGTTTAAAGATAGCACATATCAAAGAGTTAGTTACAAGTGGCCACAATTTCCGCAATTTCCTCGTGTTAGTTCTAATATCTATCATGGATTAAAATAACAAATCCATAATAAATGTCTCACATCCTTATTTGATTATTTTTTATAGTTATTTAGCGTTTATGAATAGCATCGGATTGTCGCTTGCCTAAAGATGCAGAGAAAAATGCATTATTTTCCATTCATTGTGCTTCTATCTTTCCTACTTCTTCCGACGATTTTTGCAACAAGTAAGTATATTAATATGCGTTTGGAACTTGATCTAAAATTTTCAGACCAACTTTGAGAAAAAAATACGACTGGTTATATCGGACACTCAGTAGTATTATGATCATTTATGTGCGCAAATACAAGAAATTTCAAAGAAAAATCAGACAGAGATGAGGGAGGAGAGTTGACCTTTTGCCTTTATTACTTAGGCCTGCATGTTTACAAACTTTAAAAGGGGCTCCCGAAGTATGCGAACCAAGATGGCGGACATCGGAATGTAATATGTGTACTAGGTTAGGGTTAGGCCATAATTTTAGGTATAAATACTACGGGAGGCTCTTGGCTAGTCTTCGAACTGATAATAGGACTAAAATAAGGAAAATTGGAAAAAAATTATCGCTCAACCCTAACCTGTTACCCATGTTACGTTCCGATGTCCGCCATCTTGGTTCGCATACTTCGGGAGCACCCTTTAAAAGGGATAAAGTACAAATTAACGATCACAATATCGAGTTTTATTTAAAAGCAGCAATTTCTTTTTCGTGTAAGTGCGTAAGCTTTTTTCCTGATAATTTGCGCCGCACGAACAAAGAGTTTGGGAACCGCTGATTGTGTCGTATCTTTAAGATCTCTGAAGCTGACCTGATACTTATGCCCTCACCCAAAGTCTAATAAATGAAGTACATGAAACCGAGCTGGAAAGGTCCCAGTTCTCCCAAATATTGTAGGTCTTCGCAAACTAGTGACTGTTGTACGAAAACCCCACTTAATAACATTGGTGCTATACACGTGACTAATTAACCAGCATCCTTTCTCTAAGGAGGTGTTTCCAAAAGTGGTCGAAAATACCCCCCCCCCCCCCCCCCCTCTGAACTAATTAATTTGGATTATCAAGGAATTTAAAATAATTTGGTAAAAGTGACGTCACCGGACATGACTTCATAGTATGTCAGTCAGAGATCATTACCGAGTTTACCAATGGACCGGTGATTGAAAAAAGTATTAAATCTATGCACTGGTTGATCTGTATGAGAATATTGTAAATGCGCTGTAACAATAGCAGCTATTCCATTTGAATTTCTGGGTACTCCCGAAGTATGTGAACCAGGATGGCCGACACCAGAACGTAGTATGCGTACCAGGTTAGGGTTAGGCTATAATTCCATTCCAATTTTCCCTATTTTAGATCTATTACGAGTTCAAAGACTAGCCAAGTGACTCCCGAAGTATTTGTACCTAAAATTATGGCCTAACTCTAACCTAGTACACATACGACGTCCCGGTGTCCGCCATCTTGGTTCACATACTACAGGAGTACCAATTTCTGTTCCATTGAAGTCTCAATTACATGAATGTATATTTTCACTTTAGATTGCAGTTGTCCTATGTACTATTGTGGGAGCTCGTGTTGCAGTTTGGCTGAATATAACCACATTTATCCAATGGCGTAAGTAACATTTTATTATATCAGTAGTGAAGTTGGCTCCAATTACATTTTATTACAAAATAGGGTTTGGCACTTCGAATTGAATATTCGAACCGAATCGAATAGTAAGTTAACGAACAAAAATTTCGATACACCGCCATCTTTTTTTATATTTTGCCGCCAAATTTTATGTTATGAAGCAATAATTTTGTAATGTCATTCAGACATATGACTCTTTCCTTTAGTTGGTTATTGATGGTACAATTGTGCCTATTGTGTGCAAACACTCAGCGAACTTCTTGAGTGATTGTTTCCAGTTTCCAGTAATTTATGCATCTGGAGTACAATTGAATTTTTTTTTGAGTCTTCTAGAAAAAATATTTGATTCGATTCTCAAATTTTCATATATTCGAAAATATCCAGCCCTATTGCAAAACTAACTCGATCCGCCCGATGTTTACGTAGCTGCTGTGTTTGCGCTCGTATGGGGTCAGGGGTCAGAAGTGGGTTCGTAACGAGCAACCGAACGGGCTACGCTCCGTAATGGCAACGGAAAGATCGTAATGGACGATATATATCACGCCTGTTTAATTCAACAACACACCATAAAACTACGCTATGAATGCTACTAAAGTTAGTTGCAATTCTTATTTAAACCTTAATTAACATGCTAGCTCGACCTTTTCGATATTTATGGATCTACTATCCGTAACTATCGTAATGTATGGAGAAATGTAATGGAGATAAATACGCTCCTTTTTTAGAACAGAATATGGGTCTCGATTGATTTTATTTTGGCTCTGAGGATTTTAGGGAAGCAATTTATATCCCCTGATGTCGGATACAGTAGCCAGTGGCTTAGTATCATTGTTTTCTATCAGTGCTAGTAAAACTGTCTGTCGTAATTGGTTGCAACAAACAATACTGAACGATCATTCTCACGACCACATAAGTAAAATTTTCTAAAACTAGTCAGTACTCCTGAAGTAGGTAAACCAAGATGCCCGACACCGAACGTAGTGTGTGTACCAGGTTAGGGTTCGGCCATAATACATATACCTTTGGCTATAGTCCCTAAACTCGCAATATAATTAAAATAAGGGAAATCGGAATAAAATTATGGCATACCCCTAACCTGATACAAACACTACGTTCCGGTGTCCGCCATCTTGGTGCACATACTACGGGAACGCCCACTCATGTATCTAACAATGAGAGCCATAATATAGTAGTTGATTATTGATGGAACATGTTCAAACTTCAGCAAACAGTCTTTAAGAAGCGAAACAGAAAATAAAGGTCACTCATGGGTACTCCCGTAGTATGTGAACCAAGACACAGGAACGTAGTATGTGTACCAAGTTAGGGTAAGGCCATAATTTCAGGTATAAATACTACGGGAGTCATTTGGCTATATTCCCTAAACTCGCAATAGAACTAAAATAAGGAAAATTGGAATAAAATTATGGCCTGACTCTAACCTGGTACACATACTACGTACGTTCCGGTGTCCGTCATCTTGGTTCACATACTGCGGGAGCGCCCACTCATGTATGCAACAATGAGAGCCATAATATAGTATACCACAAACAGCTCTAAGTAACTAAACTAATTACAATTCCATATCAATATTTTCTTCAAATTATATTTTTAGGACTGGATTTGCAGAAGGATTCGGGGTCGCGCTCTTATCTATCATCGGTATTTCAGTTGCAGTAACGAGCTTATGCACATGCTGCAAAAAATATGAATGTAAGAAAGTACGACACGTGAAAAAGAAAAAGCCGAAAATAACTTATACTTTTGAAATAAGAAAAAAAGCGAAAGAATTGCAGAAAAATAAGAAGAAGAAAAAAAATAAAGACACTAAAGAGACGACTGAAACTGAAAATGTCTGATTGCTTTATTAGTTTGTGTGCGTGTTTATAAAACTATATGTGTTATAGTCTTATATGTTTGTATATATAGTTTTTGGGGCTCCCGAAGTATGCGAACCAAGATGGCGGACATCGGAATGTAATATGTGTACTAGGTTAGGGTTAGGCCATAATTTTAGGTATAAATACTACGGGAGGCTCTTGGCTAGTCTTCGAACTGATAATAGGACTAAAATAAGGAAAACTGGAAAAAAATTATCGCCTAACCCTAACCTGTTACCCATGTTACGTTCCGATGTCCGCCATCTTGGTTCGCATACTTCGGGAGCACCTAGTTTTTACATATTATGTTACCCTAAAATTTATGAGCGCTTCAGAAGTATGTGTACCAATATGGAGATTTGTTCGCCTATTTTACATCAAGTTGTGTAAATGGACTGAAACCTATGGACAAGGGGATATTCACGTGGCTAACACAGACAGTTCCGAACTCGTAATGGAACTAAAATAAGGAAAATCGGAATGAAATTATGGCCTAACCCTAATCTGGTACACATACTACGGTAGTACCAATTTATGACCTGCTCGAATATTATAAAAAGGAATTATTCTATATTTTTGTCCGCTAAAAAAGAAAGTATGATGCGCGACCGCGATTTTGTCATAAATCTTAAAGTTCATTTGCTTACAATTCTATACCTACTATAACAGCAGAACATGTCATTAAATCCGATTTAGGTACAAGTGTGTCGTGTATTTTTGACTTCGCCGAAATTTAAACTTTGCCTATGGGTGGATACTGAATACTTATTCTAGTCACAATATTGCTTGCCGTTTTCCTGACCCCTTATTTAACACTTCAAATTATATATAGTCTTCCGCTATTTTCACCAATCAAAACATTACAAAAGAACATCTTGACATGCGGGTTATATTTGAGAAATAGAAAAGATTTCAAACTCCAACTAATAAATACATTGTGTTTGAAAAAGTCATAAACTTTGTGGCTATCGTCCGTCATCAATATAAGCAATGGAATATTAAAAGCATTAAGTTTTAAGGCAGAAAGAACAGAATAAATTGTTTTCAATCCATTTTAAATTTGAATATGAAATGATATACAGGGTCATTAACCTGGTTAAGACCTATTGAGAACTGACTTCACAACAAAATTGAAATTGTAAAGAGACTTTATGGACACCTTGTACATATGGGTATAGTAAAGACTTCGGCCCGCCTTGCCAGTGGTTTTTAATCTTCTCGGTGAAGCGGACCTTAATGAAACATTCCAAAGGTTCAAAGAACCCTTGAGTAATACTTGTCAGGCTGTTAGAAGAGTTGTACAAACTACAAATATATATAAAAGCAAACCTAATATTTAAAGAACATAATAATTATAATAATACAGGATGTATATAAAGTCCCTTTACAATTTCAATTTTGTTGTGAAGTCAGTTCTCAATATATCTTAAACCAGGTTTGTTGTTTTTTAATCAGTAATTGTTTGAGTATTTTTACTTCATTCAATACATCTGTGAGAACCAAATATGAATTCCCTTTGCAATTTGAATTTTTTTAAGACGTAACAAAACTAATATTTGAACAATATACATATAATGGTGCTCCTGAAGTATGCGCACCAAGATGTCACACAACCTGAATTTTAACCGGTACACACCAACTATGTTCAGGTTGTGCGCTATCTTGGTGCACATACTTCTGGAGGTCCTATGGCGCTTCCGAAGTATGTGCACCAAGATGGCGCACAACCTGAACTCTAACCTGGTACAACAACTATGTTCAGGTTGTGCGCCACCTTGGTGCACATACTTCTGGAAGTCCTACATTTCTACCTAAAACTTAATGCAAACAATACTCTTTTTACTTGCTCAATCTAAATTTCATTTCTATAGTCTTCAACGCCTCAGCGTATCCTTCAATTACTTCCCACACTATGCCTTCTCCTGGGTTGAGCGGGCCGCCATCTTTCACCCAGACACCGTTTGGGTTTGAATCGAAACAATCGTTAAACCAAAATCCCCCGTTAGTAACTTGAGCGCAATTTATGGAACTCAGGTCGTTGTCCGAATCATGCGTGCTGAATTTCATTCCGTTTTGGTCGACTAATGCGTCTCCTGCCGTTCCCTTGTATTCTCCGATTTGTAACTGGTATTTGCCGTCCTCGTTGCCTATTTTGAAGTCCCTGTTTAATGAAACAAAAAATTTGGTTATTTTGGGGTCAAAGGTCAGGTCGAGTTACGGTCTAACATGGCAATTAGAAATCCCCCCCCCCTTCAATTTTAAAATTCCCGAATATGCCCCTGCATAAATGGCATTGAGCGAGCGAGTCGGACGAGTTAGATCCAGCGAGTTTAGATCCAGCCTTCCTTTAATAATTGCCGGTACTCAACTACAATCTACCGAGGACGACTTCTATGCGATTTCAACCCAGCCCAGCGTCCGACTACGGTAATGAGTTCTGGTAAAAACTGGAGAAGATTTTATACAAAGTCCGCCAAAAAAAAAAACGCTCCTGCCAACGCTTAAAATTGGAAAAGTAGTAATTGTCTAGTTAGGGTTAGGAATGCAGATTGCGCTGATAAATTCAAATTCTTAGATCATTCATTACCCGAATCTGAACTGGATAATTACTAATTTGTTATTTTAAAACGTGGTCGGGTATTTCTCTCAAATCTCACATTTTTGCATTAGTGGCTTTGTACAGAAGATCCAAACCGTCGATATAACTCTAGCTCCATGCTTGAAATAAACCCTAAATATGACAATCAACACTAAGCACTAGCTTTCTATAAACCGTGTCCGGAAATTTCGCCACAGGTAATTTCGCCACAGGTAATTTCGCCATAGGACATTTCGCCATAGGAAATTTCGCCACAGAAAATTTCGCCGCAGGAAATTTTGCCATAGGACATTTCGCCACAGGTAATTTCGCCGTAGGACATTTCGCCGCATAGGAGAAGTATTTGTAATAAAAACAGTTAGGTTTTTTCATGCGGCGATTTTTCCTACGCGGCTAAATTTCCTGCGGCGAGATTTCCTGCCGCAAATTTTCCTAGAACCGTTAGACACCAAACATTTACTTACTTGTACGTAGCGTAGGTCTTCACATCATTCCAATCAGTCATGTCGACTCTTAACTCGCATTTTTCCTTGCGAGTCAGTTTGAACATGTTTTCGAGACCTATGACGGAAGAAAAAATGATTATTGAACACGAGGTGTACATATGAATCGTTTTGTTGTTAGAATTCTTTTTCTTGTTTTTTGAAAAAAATCTGTTTTATCATTCACTAATGGGTGCTCCAGAAGTGTGTGTGCCAATATGGAGATAACTAACTTGTTCGCCTAATTTACACAAGTTGTGTAAAGGGACTGAAACCTATGGGCAGGGGGTATATTTACTTGGCTAACACAGACAGTCCCCGAGTTCGTAATAGAACTAAAATAGGGAAATTCGGAATAAAATTATGGTCTTACCCTAACCTGGTACACACACTTCGGAAGTACCAACTAATTGACCAATTGTTTTGAAATTTTCAGTGGTCAGAGTTTAGCTATTACTTTTATTTATTTCAAACATTTCATGAGCTCTTAATTGAGGGATTCGTTTTTTTGTGTGCAATGAACATTTTCAATTTCTTTTTTTAATCATAGTCTAGCACTGGGGTCGGAACCTACAGCCCCGCGGGCCGGATCCGGCGCGCGACGCTTCACTAACCTATAGTAACAAAACATCCGTTTTGACGAATATATTCTTTAGACTTAATTATATTATAATCTAACAATTATATAATTCACAATTACTCGTTTAATGAGCATATGATTTAATTAGGCAAATGGCAACAAAACGAAGAAAAGTTGGTGCTAAGTGCAAAGGGTTCAATGGCGCTGAAAATATTCAAATGGGATTTTATGAGACGCAATATGAAAATAAATCAATATTCTATTCGAGAGATGTATCACTGCTTGATTTTTATTATAAAAAGTACCATCCGTTCGGTTTTTCAACTTTCTTAAAATATGTGCGGCCCGCAAATGACTTGCAACCTTAATTTTGGCCCGCAAGCGACAAAAGGTTGCCGACCCTTGGTCTAAAAGAAACTAACAATATGTGTTGTAGATTAAATGTATAGGCTTCGAAACACATGCCTATCCCTCACCAATAGTCATATCCATTGATGGGATTCAAATTTTTTTTCAGAATGTTCTTTCACAAAAGTCATATTTTTCACCGGTTCTGTTACAAACATAACATTCACAGTAACCAGTAATGCTAACCGGTTCGCTGATCTCATAAAATTCCAGGAGACGGTTCTATAGAACCCGTGCGAACCGGCTGTTTCATACCTAATTAAGTAGATGTCGTAAGTAAAAATTCTCAAGTTTAAACGCCGTTCTTAGCCCTATTATTTAACTGTTATAAATCTAGGAAGTTATTTTGAACTTATAATATTATCGGTTTTCTAAGGAACACGACAGCTTCTTACCCCTGAGTGGTTTCGAATCGAATCGAATATTAAATATTCGAATCAGTTGAGGCGAATCAGTTGCGTTAATTTTTATTATTTTTTTTCTGGCGCTGCGTGTTTATTTATTTTTTTCAAAGCAAACCTTTGGGTCAACTGTCAAAAGTCAAAGGTTACCTAGCCAGAAACTTTCGTCAAATTCACCGAATCCTTCCTTATATTCATTCCATGTTTTGGTAAAACTCATAGTGCTATTAAACATTCGTCTTTGGAAAACCTAAAAGAGAAATGGTAATAAGTAAATATACTGCTGCTGTATTTTTATGAGAGTTTTTGTTTCTCTATGCCAGAGGTGGCCAACCTGCTTTTGACCGCGATCGACTGAAATCTTTTATGCTTCATTACACATTTTTTATGTTCTATTTAATTTGCTAATTTGATTACGTAAATGTACCCGGAGTAAATCTTCATCTTTTATTAGAGATTTATTCGAATCATTCCTTTCAGATCAAATGAAACTGATTCAGGGCATTTTTTAGGATATGTTATGAAACCTACCTACTCATCATCAGATGCGATAGAGTAGACTACTTCGAGACCTCGCGATCGACGTGTTGGCCACCCTAGGTTTATACTTTTTTAAAGACGAACTGAACTCATGGTTTATTTTGTTATTAAGTTGATGTTTAAAAAATCGTCGTTCTCATTCATTAATATCATCCGAAATTTTGCTATATTTTTATTTTTTATCATACCGTGGTTTTCAATTTGTTGCTTCCACGTATACAATTACTTTTGAGTAACACTTCAATAGCAAATATAAATAAACAATTAAACTCAGATATAAAATAAGAAAATAAAATCAGTAACTTTTGGGTTTGCTGAAAAAACATGCGATACAAAAAACCACCGCGGCGGCGTGGCTCATCGTGCCAAGCGTTAAGAATACGCTCGCCGCCGCACCTCTAATTACTCTGCGTGGGTTTGCAGGTTCGAATCCCATGCGGGGATGATTATGTGCGAGAGGATTGCGGGACTCCTCGCCGCCGTAGGGTGGTTCACGTAACCGCTGGTCGGTTACGGCTTCCTCCACCATCAAGTCCATCCTTCCAAAACAAATACCTGGCTAACTAATCCCATTTCCGACATGGAATGGTAACCGGTTGAGAGGTCATGGTTCGCCATATGGTTAAGCCGTCTTATCGGCTTTCTTCTTCTCGGGATAAATATGTAAATCCTAATTTTTAGGTGACGCAAACTCTGTCAAGTCAACACTAACCGTCCATCCTCCATTATCAGTTGTAACATCGCAGTAGACATTCATCGTCTCCTTTGATTTAGGAATAGTGATTTCTGCGACTCCGCCCACTCCATCAAATCCGGTGACGGTGCTTTGGTCGATATCGGAGCAGCCTGGGTTCAAAAGCGAAAATGGATAATGTCAAAATGATCCACGCAAAAGCTGATCGAGTGAGAATTTTTAGTCAATATGGAGTGTATAGGATATTGTGTACTGAACTGCAAGTCCTTCCTCCTTGTTTACTTTCTATTGCGGATCCATGTGTGTCAGTTGCCACGAGGATGCTTGAGCGAGATAGTATTATAAAGATAAATAACATAATCTCTTTCCACGAAATACCAAGTATATTTATGAGCTTTCGTTAGATCATACTCTTACTTCTTCAGACAAAACATGATATTTAATGTAAAGCGAATTTAACGAAAGCTCAGAAATAAACCTATTATTTCGTGGGAAGAGATTATGTTATTCATATTTTTAGTCAGTGAGGAATATTTCAGCGTTATTTTTTAATCTTTTTGGGGAATCAGAACCTCAATGAAACATTCTATAGCAGGGGTGTGCAAGGTTGTTGGGGTACCCCTGAAGTATGTGCACCAAGATGGCGCACAATCTGAAACCTAACCTGGTACACTTAATATGTTCAGGTTGTGTGCTATCTTGGGGCACATACTTCAAGAGCTCCGAGGGCCAAGAATTTTGCCCACCTATACTGGTATGTAAGTATGACGTTAGAGTTACATTTTATGAACAATATTTACAGTGTTACAAAAGCAGAAGCCTTGTGACAAAACTAAATTTAATTGCAATCTCAACAAATTTTTTAGGCTATTTTTTAGCTAAACATCAAAATTTGGTTTTAGTTTAGTTGTGGCAGCATCTGGCAGGTCAGATCAATTTACAAAACGGCCCGGATTTGACCCGCTGGTCGTTGTTTACTCATGTCAATTCTTCTGAAACTTCTGGCTGTAAGGAGATTTACACTAGAGATTATTAAGACATAATTAGGGCTGGGCATTTTCGAATACCTGATGATTTCAGAATCGAATCGAATAATTTTTTTCGAATTGAATCGAATGTCGAAGACTTGGAAGGTATGAAATTGTATGTAACTTTCTTATTATTTTAGGTCCTCCAGACACATAAATTACTGAAAACATAGAATACATCACTGATAATAAAAAAAAACGTTTTTCTCAATACCTCAATACAGAAAAGAGTCATATGTCAGAATTGTGTTGAAAAAATATGGCTTCAATGAAAAAAAAAATGGGAAATTTACCTCGACCATTGGCGAAAAGAGTAAAACAAAATGGCGGCGATTCGAAAATTTGCTCTTAACCGATTCGAATAATTTACTATTCGATTCGAATATTCGATTCGAAATGCCCAGTCTAAGACATAATACGTACTTACTTTTTGCATCTTTCTTTCCTTTGTCAGCCCCTGTAACAAAACATATAATTAGAGATTATAGTTGAAACAAATTAGGGTACTCCCGAAGTATGTGAACCAAGATGACGGATACCGGAACATAGTATGGGTACCAGGTTAGAGTTAGGTCATGATTTCAGATACAAATACAACGGCGAATCTCCGAACTCGTAATAAAACTATAATAAGGGAAATTCGAATTAAATTATGGCCTAACCCTAACCTGGTACACAAACTACGTTTCGGTGTCCACCATCTTGGTTCACATACTACGAGAGAGCCCAAACGGGAACACGGGGTTGTATTTAAAAATAACATACATCAACAAAACTGTGCGTAAAATAAAAAATGTTTACTGGAAATGAATTATGAGAGCCGCAGAAAGAATGGTTGCGACTCTGAACATAAAATGATGCGGACTAAAATTTAAAAGTGTCCAAAAATTTGTGATATTATGGAAAATCGCCACAATGGCGTTTTGCTGTAAAACCAGTATTTGTGATAAAAACAGTTAAGTTTATAGGATTAGGAGGCGCTCCCGAAGTATGTGCACCGAGATGGCGCACACATCCTATGTTCAAGTTGTGCCCCATCTTGATACACATATTTCTGGAGCTCCGATTAGGGTATGCTCTTAAATAACGTACTCTAAAAACATAACTGTTTTTATCACAAATACTTGTTTTACAGGAAAATGCGACGAGATTTCCTACGGCAAAATTTCCTACGGCGAGATTTCCTACAGCGAATCTAGAACCAAAATTAAATACCTTTGTTTGCAGCCCTTCTGAATCGGCCGGGTGGTTCCGAGCCAGATCCTGATCCTGAATGATCATGATCATGGTGATGGTGATGGTGATGACGATGTCCATGACGTCTATGGTGGTAGTCATAGTAATGATGGTCGTCATAATAGGAACAGCTACTGCAATGGTGATTGTGCTCATAATGGTGACCGTGATGATGTTTGTCGTGCTTATGGTGTTTATGATGATGATGACCGTCTCCAGAACCGCTGTACCCTGAGCCAGAACCGAAATAATGCCGCGCTTTCATATCGTCGCCGGCCTTCTTGCTATCGCTTTTAGCTTTGGGTGTTTTTTTGTTCTTTGGGTGTTTCTCCGATTCATCAAAATTTGTGACGTCATCTGCGAAAAAAAAAGATAATGTTTAAATATAAATACACCAAGGTTTCGCAATGGTATGTCGTGTAGATAAGGTAAATGGAAGCAACACTGTGATACATATAATATATAAATATATAATATACCCATGCAAAATTGATTACCATGAGATATTTATATAGGCATTGGACGTTGTAGTTTTCGGTTCTAACCCGCGGATAGAGGCGTACCTGTTTTGGAGTCGGACCGCCCCCTTTTGAAATGTAAAAAAAAGCATTTTCTGTATCAAACATAGCAATTTTCTTAGCTTGGAACGCTTCTTAGACCCTAAACTCTTGCAACCCAACGTTTTCTCGCTAGCTATTACGATCTAACTAACTTCGCAATTGAAAATTCCCCTTCCCTTTGATGACTTCGCCTTTGGTTTAAACCACCGACGATCAAGCCCCCAGTTAGCCTCTCGCACATAATCACCCCCCCCCCCCCCCCCCATAGTACCCGTGAAGGTGCACGTTCCTACGGGAAACGAACGAAGGCAAAATTCTAAAATATACTATTTCGGTGTTTGAGTATTGTTACTAGTAAAGCCTTTACTGAGCATCAAGTTTGCTAATAAGATCGATGAGATCGGACGTGACGTAATGGGGTGTTCCCTTATAATAGAAAAATGTTCCCAAATATAAAAAGAAAACTGCAAAATTTAGGGATTTAAGAAACATTAGGCCTCATTAAACTCCATAAGAAAAAATATGGAAGTAATAGCTCTTTAGTGATTTTTTTATAAATGATCGCCATGACGTTTTAAAAATGTTTGGAATTACAAAGGGAATTTATCGATACCATATATGGTTTTGACCCTCACATATGTATTAAATGAAGTAAAAATAATTGAACAATTACTGATTAAAAAACATCAAACGTGGTCAAGATATATTGAGAAATGACTTCATAATAAAATTGAAACTGTAAAGGGACTTTATAGACACCCTGTATATTTAAGAATTAAAAATTCGAATTTGATTTCGGCAAAAATTCTTTTTTTTTTCTAACAGCACAGCAACTCGGCAAAACGACCTATATTGTAGGTTTGATTGGACCGTTCGATTGTGGAGAATAAAAAACAATTCAATGGACCCATGCTCCGGATTTGAATAAAAATAGACTCCGTATACATCTACCGATTACAAAACAATAACGAGAAACTTATCATTTTCAATGCCTTATTGTTTATGCTGTAGAAACGGTACTCCCGTAGTGTGTGTACCAGGTTAAGGTCAGGCCATAATTTCATTCCGATTTTCTTTACTTTAGTTTTATTACGATTATTTATTCGGGGACTGTCTGTGTTAGCCAAGTGAATATACACCCTGCCCATAGGTTTCAGTCCCTTTACACAACTTAATGTAAAGTAGACGAACAGAATTAGTTACCTCCATATTGGTACACACACTTCTAGAGCGCCATCGATTCTGTAAATTTCTTGCGATTTAAAAAACATATCATTCAAAAATACCTCCTTCCTCCTCTGGTTCGTCTTTTGTCTTTGTGAATACGGTGTCTGTGTCTGTGTCCTCATCTGAGAGAGGAAGCTGATAAAAGTACGAGAATTAAAGACTTATTTTTGCAACAGAAATACCGGTAACACGGTATAATCACATGAAATAACTTTATTTGTGACAATTAGTAAGTATCCTTTTGTTAATGTACATGCCATAGATTTTATTTTCATAGTTGCGATATGCTTTTACAAACTTACAAATCTAATCTAATAAGATAAATTTTGGTGCTCCCGAAGTATGCGAACCAAGATGGCGGACATCGGAACGTAACATGGGTAACAAGGTTAGGGTTAGGCGATAATTTTTTTCCAATTTTCTTTATTTTAGTCCTATTATCAGTTCGAAGACTAGCCAAGAGCCTCCCGTAGTATTTATACCTAAAATTATGGCCTAACCCTAACCTAGTACACATATTACATTCCGATGTCCGCCATCTTGGTTCGCATACTTCGGGAGCCCCTAAATTTTTTTATATTTATTATGGAAAGAGTAAAGATTGTACGTGCTTTGGGAGTGGAGATACGAAATCATGGGGAAATCTTTGAATCTTTTGTTTAAAGCTTCCGCCAAAAAAAGCACCCAACCTCCGCTCGAAAAAAAAATAGTAAATATCCAGTTACGGTTAGGAATGCAGATTGCACTGGAAATTCAAATTTCCGAATCATTCCTAATCTGAACCTTATCTAGATAATTACTAATTTGGTATTTTAAAACAAGGTTCGTTTTTCTCAAATTCCCATTTTTGCATTAGTGACGATGGCTACGTAAAAAAGATCTATTTTAGTGGGCGCGCTGGCCTAGCAGTTAATGTACTTGATTTAACAATATTGGCACCACAGCTCAGAGATTCCCTGTTCAAATCCTATTCCCGCCATTTCAAGTTGTGATAAATTAAATCACCCCGCTAGGGCACGTAGGGCGGCGCTCATAAGTATTTGTACCAAGATGGCGCACAACCTGCTGACCTTGACCTGGTATACATACAATGTTCAGGTTGTGCGCCATTTGGGTACGAATACTACGGAAGCACACTTATCATCATGCCGTTTCATCGGCATCGGCCCTCTTCTCCATTTTACAAGGACAAAATATCATCCAATAAATCATATTTTACCTCTTCGGTGGCGGCATCTTCAGTTGTTCCATCCTCTTTCTCTGGCACTCCATCTTCGTTATCAACTACGTCATCTTGGGAAGCAACGAAGGTCGCCAACAGGCAGAAATAAATCAAGATTATGAGAGACTTCATATTGAATCTGCCTGGAATTGGAAATAAAAAAAAATTTTATGTTCGGGTTAGTATTTTTTTAAGTAAAATTTGTTCACGTGCAGTCAGAAACAAACAAGCAAAAATGATCTCCGAGCGAAGATACGGCGAAGGTACGCCCTAAAGGACCCCATGGCAGTTAGAGGGGGGAAGGGGGGCACTATGCTGAGCGCAAAAATTGATTTCACTTTTCTCTTTATAATAAAATTGCCCATTCTCCCTAGTTTCGTTACTTGATAAGGTTATAAAAATTTTGCCATTTTACCGTCTCTATAAACCATTATATTTAAAATTAACCGTGATTTACCGTGCTGTCCATTCATTCATTATATTTAAAAATAAGCATTTTAACAGTTTACCGTGTCTATTAAACCACCATGTTTTAAAAATAAACATTTTATCATTTTACCGTTTCTATGGTACACTATATTGTAAAATTAGGGTTTTACCATTTTACCGTGTCCATAAATCGCTATAATATTTAAAAATAAACATTTAACATTTTACCGTGTATCTGGTATCGTAGAATATCAGAAGTTTTGCTTGAAATCGCCGTCGTCTGAATCTGTCTACGCTTAACCAAAGTGAAAGAACAAATGATCTGACAAAGCCAGTCGGAGAACGGTACATGAAATTTTCTTTGTTTCCGAGGAAGCAAGTCATAAAGGATATGAAAATACTTAAAACATGATTTTTCGTTTTAACACTGAAATATGACTCACGAAATGGGTCAAACGATTCATGTATATTTGTTAAATCTGAAATCATCTGGTTTGAAATACGCGACACAAAGAGAATTGTTTTGGGTCGATGTGGCGAAAATCTTTCAACTTTGAACCCACGTTTCCCAACCGGAAAGAAAGAGAGGAGGGTGTACTTGGGGTAGAATTTTGTGTTTTATTTGCCGTAGTGTTACTAATTTTCTTCATTTATAAGTAACTTGAACTGTGCTTTAATTCGAACATTTCGCTTTATACTATGCAATTGAAGGATCCTGCGGTACACTAACGCAAAGGCATTAAGGATTGGGAGTTATTCTCGCGTAGCCTTTACTAATGATTATATTTTGCTTATAACTGCACTTACTCTGAGCTCGGGGAAATCTAAAAAGTTCCATATATTTGGCGGTGCTGTTTCTTTACCCTTGGTCATATGGCGTCGCATATCTTCGCAACGTAAAGATTCTGTATGAAGGCCACCGCATGTCGCCGCCTATCTACCCCTGGCTCAATGATAAAATGGTACCTTTTCCTATCGTGCTACTCTAATTAGTGCTTTGAAAAAGAAGAAAAATTAATACCGAATGCGATTATTAAAAAATTGTTCCCAAACAATTTCGGCTCTGACTCTATATTTCCATCCGCCACCCCCACTCAAAAACGAAAAGTCGAATCAAATGTATAGTGTCATGCATGCAGTTTAATAAATAAAAAGAACAATTTTCAAAATGCTTGGCACATAATGGGGTCGTCAAAAAATTGTGACGTAACAAAATGCATCTGAAAATTGCGTCGAGTATTCGTCGTCGATACGTTTCCATCAGTCCGTCTTCGTTAAAAATCAAGTCCATACAGCGGTAACGTATTCAATTATCGTTTTTAAGGGGTTATTCAAGATTCGTGACGTCATGATATATGACGTCATGTATTTTTTGACAATAAATTCTAAATGTTAATGAATCGTAGCTTAATAATATTAAAGTAAAATAGCCAAGATGCGGTTGAATTTTGAAAATGCAATAAAAAGACAGCAAAAAATTTAAAAAAAGTTTTAGTAAGGGGATCAATGTTCGTGACTTCATCATTTATGACGTCGTCTATCTTTTTGGATACTCAATGTCAATGTCAATGTAAATACGCCACCGCATGAACGAATAAAATTAATTTTTTTGTCTAAATTTCATTTCTATCTTCTTCAGAGATGTTGAATTCTCCGCAGACGAATCCCACGTCACTCCTTGACCAGCTTGCTCGGGTATTCCCCCCCAAATATAAACACCATTGGGATTTGCTTGCTGGCAATCGCTGAACCAGAATCCACCAAACACTAAGGAAGCGCAGTTATCGTCTTCGTTCGCATCATTGTCTACGTCATAAGTAGTGAATTTCATTCCATTATGCGTTGACAACGAATCTCCAGCGTCGCCATCGTAGCCGTCAACTCGAAGCTCGTATTGTTCGTCTTCTGATCCAACATTGAAGATTCTAAAACGAGAAAAAGTAAGGAATTAGACTTTCCAATTATGACTCGACTTGACTTGTGACTCAAGAGTGCAGTGACTTGATTTGACTTAGGGATCAAATTTTTGTGACTCCAGATAACCAATTACTCGACGTCGAGTTTATAGAATTGTACTCATACTGGTTGAACCAGAGTGAAACTGTAGTCCATAGTTGAGTTAAATTTAGAATGAGATTTATATTCGACCCGAGAGAGCACAGTCGATAAAGCGGCTCAATCATGTAGGAAACCACGGCCTCTCGCCAGATAACTAATCCACAACGATCAAGGGATTAATTAGTAAGCATAATGGTCGTTTAAATGAGCATCATCCTTTTTGTTTTACTCGTAACAACGACTAATCGTGAATAGGTTATCGATGTCGGGTATCGTGATAGTTAACAAGTAATTTGTTTCTGATTTATGTTCTTGTAGTTTATTCGAAGAAGACTCTTTAAAAAAGGACCATGTTTTTCTATCCTAAAATAAGCGGAATCTATCAAAAATCACTCCCATGCCGAGCTAGCTTCAAATCATTCTTCAAGTCGAATTGAACCAGTAAATACAAAATATTAAATCAAGTCTCACTCGGTCAAAAATTAAATGCAAAACCGAGTCATATTCTATATGAGTATTGATATAAATGAGTCGTGCCTACCCAAGTTTCACTGCTTATTTATTTCAATTTTGAGTCGAATTCGCCGGTAGGAGTATTAGCCTTACGCCGAGTCATCCCATGGAGTGATGAGTTGACTTACCCATAATAAGCATATGAAACGGTATCATTCCAATCTGACATCTCGATCATCAACTCATATTCTCCGTTTTCGGTCAGTAAGTGAAGCTTTTCTAATCCTGTGAGCAATATAAAGCTATTTTGAGACGATTTGTTCAGAAACTTGATGGGGCAGCCGAATTCACAGCTTTGTGACATGTCCTACCCAGTGGTGGGATTCAGCCGGTTTGCACCGGTTTTTTTTAACCGTCTCACGTAATTATATGAGATCAGCGAACCGGTTAGCATTACTGGTTACTCTCAATGGCATTTTGTAACAGAACCGGCTGAAAAATATGACTTTTGTGATGGAACCGGCTGACAAAAAAATTGAATCCCACCACTGGTCCTATCCAATTCAAGAGTCCTGCTGCACACTAACACAAAATGTATTTTTGTAACGTTTCGTCTGACCAAAATCAGACTTCCTCAAACAAACAGTTGCAACAATGACAAGAAAAGAACGATGATACTGTTTATGAATACCTTCGAATTGGGAGGTGGTCTCGCGCAACCTCTACCGATAGTTAGATTTGTGGGTACGCCTGAAGTATGCGCACCAAGATGTCGCACAACCTGAACCCTAACCTGGTACACAACCTGAGTTCAGGTTGTGCGCCATCTTGGTGCGATTTGTGACATTGGGTTTATAGGTGTTATAAATATCTTAGGTTCAAACCCTGCACTTTGATCGAGACATGGAGCAAATTAAAACATGTTCAGTGCTCGTCTTCGAACTAAACTCAGACTCTTATTAGCATATGACACTTTTGAGGTCGCCTACATTTCAAATATATAAATCACCCAGAGAACAATTACCTTGAGTGTGCGTGACTTTGCTTTGAGCAAATTTTTTTGGAAATACTAAATAAGTTATTTGAAAAAGTTGAAAAATTGACTCGGCTAACATCGAGTCGTCATGTCTGATCCGAGTCGAGTTAATCCGAGTTTTCTCAAAGATGGTCGAGTCAAGTTTCACATCTCCCGCGTATGTTTCGAGTCAAGTTTTCTAATTCGAGTCATTAGGGAAATATCAAAATTTGACTCGACTCAATCCGAGTCGTCATAAGGGGCGTAACCATGAATTTTCAATGAGAGAGGGGGGAGGGAGGGGGGGAGTTTTTGATTGGGTGTTGATTGGGTGTCGCTGCATGATAACTGGTTTTGGTTTTTGCGCCTCCCCTCACCCTGAGATGCCATTTTTGCGTTGTTTTTTATTTTGTTTGTAGAAAGTGTATTTACACGATGGTGAAAAAATAAAATACTCATTGCTCATTGCCGAGTTGGACGGCAACAGCAGGCGGGTTCCGACCAGCAAGCGAACCCTCTCTGGTCGTCATACATGATCAGAGTTTTGTTATCCCCAGAAAAAAAAATACTAAAATGAATCTTCTTACCAAGCCAAAACTCTCCCGTCAAATCCCCGAATCCGGAAACGTATTCATCCCAAGATTTTGTGAAATTGACCGACCCATCTAGACGTCTTTGAAAAACCTGGAAAGTTTGATTTAAATTAATTGAAAAGCCTGCTGAAATAAAAGTTTTAACACTAATATTCATCTTGTTTAATTCAGTGGCTCTCAAACGTTGGGGCGCGCCCCAAAAAAGGGGCGTAGGCAATTTTTTTGAGGGGGCCAGAAGCTAATTAAAAATAAAAAGTTTGAGAACCACTGGTTTAATCAGTAACTATATTTCATCATGAGTGTATGTAAAATATTTTAAGAGAAGAAAATTAAATCGTTTTTCGCCCAAGCCAAACCAGTCGGTACTCGGTTATAACCAGTTTAGACCAGTCCAAACCGGAAAACCCCGTTTATAAAAACTTCAACGCTCACCGTCCATCCGCCTCCATCACTTGTGATGTCACAAAACACTTGATAGGTCCCCATCAAAAGTTCGTCATAGACTGTGGCAATTCCTCCGCGCCCATCGAAGTCTTGCAAATTATTCGATTGCACGGAATTACAGCCAGTTGGATACGCAAAATCTGAAAGTAAAAAGGGATTTATTTCATTGCTGACACAAAAGTACGTTTAAGTTAAGATCGCGCGGGTTTTAGGCAAGCTTGAGTCATTGCTCCGAATCGTGTTGAACACTAGTCACTATTCATCATAGACTCGAAATGACTTGGATTATTCAAATCAGGGGTTCCCAAACGGCGGCCCGCGGGTTAATTACGGCTCCATAACGATTTAATATGGCCCGCCGAACTAGTAGTGAAATAGTTTAACACTTTACTATTTTCTTTTGTTACGTTCTAGATACCAATTGTTACGTCATCGTCGCAGTAGCACGTGTAAAGTCGTAACAATTCAATTATACCGGCATTTTTATTTTCACATGGCGATATTGGTAATGGCCCCTAGAAGGCGCTCGCTTCACCCGCCCGCGAATATCCTTGCGCTGTTAACTTTGGACCCCGGTCAATACACTTTGGGTGCCACTGATCTGAATGAAATGACTCGGACTCGTCGTCAACTAACCACCAGTGAAACTAAGCTCGTTGATTTTTACGAGTTCGGGATTAACTCAGGATCGGGATGACTCGACATGACTCGAAGTTTTACGACTTCTATACAATATTGATTCAAACGTTGCTCACAACACTCACCAAAGGAGCAATAAATTTGGTAAGTCAAATTATACTGGGTTAGCATT